GGTGGCGGGCGTCGGGTAGAAGCGGTTGCGTACCATGAGTGCGGCCTCGGCTAGAACTAGGTCGCTGACGCGGGTGTTGTCCATGTAGACGCTGCGGAGGCGCGTGCAAGCACGCATGACGGGGAGCAAGCCGTCATCGCCCAGGTTCTCGCAGTAGCCGACGTTGAGGTGTTCGAGCCCCGAGGCGCAGGGGGCTTTCGCAAGGTGTTCGGAGAGCAAGGCGTTAGAGACCTGGGTCAGGTCCTCCAGCTCGAGGTGCGTTAAGCGCGGGGTAGACGCTAATATGGGCTCCAGGGCAGCGTCGGTGAGGGTGTGGATGCCCGAGAGTTGAAGACCTTCGAGACAGGGTACGAAGTGGCTTAGGGATAGGATGCCGCGGTCAGTGAGACCGGTGCAACGGGTCAGGTCGAGGTGGCGGAGCTTCCGGGGCGGGACCAGCGGGCGGTTGTCGATAAGGTTAATTTCTGGATCGGAGCCGTGGACCATGGTTTGCAGAGCGGTGTCGGTCAAGTGCTCACAACCGGAGAGGACAAGGCGCTCGAGTGTGTTTGTGCGAAAGATGGTTTCGGCCACCGGGATGGAACCGAAGCCTTTGATCTCACCGGCCCGGAGGTCTTTGAGTTTGGGGCAGGCTTCGACCACGAAGGCGATGCCCCGGGCGTCCATGTTCTTACACCAAGAGACGTTGAATACTTCCAGCTGCGGGCAATAGTTGGCCACGATCTTGCAGGTGGCGTTGTTCACCGCGTCTAAGCCGGTAAGGTTCAGATGGGCGAGCCGGTTATTAGATTTGAGTAGCATGTGGAGGGTCGAACGCTTGAAATTCCGGCATCCCTCCAGCGTCGCATTTATCAGGTTCCGGCACGCTTTCACCATCACCTCAGCCCGTTGGTAGTGTTCCACCTGAACACAGCCCCTGAGGTTAAGGTCCTTCACGAATGGCCCGGCTGAGACAATGATATTGGCCAGTGATCCCGCGGGTATCTCCCTATAGAACTCGGAGGCGTCAAAGCTTGTCCATAGCTGGCCGTCAAAACACATCTTGTGAAACTCTCGGGAGATTCGCGAGACCCGCACCAATTCTCTCGGCCCAAGGAACGAGAGGACGTAGATCTTGAGCTCGTGGGGCATGTCCGCCCAAAGACTAAATCCGTTTAGCCTCTTCTTGACCTTTGTTGGCAGGGAGATCGTGGCCGGGGCGGGTGCAGTGAAGCCTACTGGTCGATTGGCCAGCGCCGACTCGAGTCCCTCATGAGCAGGCGACTCGGCGATCGGACTGGCCGGAATCGACGTATGGGCGCTCGAGCTCGCGGCGGCGGACGACTGCGAGAAGTAGGACCCCGCACTCGGCTGGCCGAACGGAGAGGCGGTGGAGGCCAGGCTGATGCAAGAAAGGTTGCCAGACCTGCTGTAAGGACTGCTTGCGGATCTGGAACGGCCGAGGCGGTTTAGGGAGGAAGAGGACTGCATGCGTTGAAGGCTACGAAGCAGCCTATCCCGCCCTCTCCTCTTCGATCGCGGTTCTGCCCCATTTTCGATGCCCCCATCGTTAGTTGGAGCATTGTCCGAGAGGGCGGGGCTCGGTGATGTCGTCGGAGCCTCGTGGATGACATCGGAGTCGGCCATGGTGGTAACTACCCCGGGAGTGGGATGGGTTGTAAGGGGCCAGTCAGGAGCAAGAAGGATTAGATACGAGCGTCTGTTCTGAAGGTTGAGGTTGACGGAGGGAAAGGTTCAGGCGGCGGCACGACGGAAAAGAGTGTGTTGGAGATTTCTCCTTCACCTGTCCAATCGCGGCTTGGGATGAGCGGTTGCGGAGGTGGCGACGTCAAATGGATCTGGAATGATATCGATGGTGGGGTCGAGCTCAAACAGCGGCTGAGCGGGTGGGAGGCGCGGACAAGGAGACGCCGGGAAGTCGCCCGAACAAGGAGGGATATCCCTTACCCCGGACAACGGGCAGATGCCGGCTTTTTCCTGATTTAGCAGTAGACCATGGAGCTGAGTGAGAAAATAAATCGGATGGCGACTAAGTGAGAGAAAAGGATACGGCCTAGTGACGATTGTGCGATGGCAGATGTCGTTGTCGATGCTGTTGTCGATGTTGGCGGGGGCAGCCGGGTTTTGTCGCTCGTTTGTTGCGGCCAACCCAACCAACCTAGACTGCCCAGCTGAACAGTCCCACGCTTCCCACCCAAAATGCTTCCTTTACTATCTGTACAATAGACCCCCAGCTTAAGATGGTTGACTGCTCAAGGAGTCGAGGGAAGGGTGGATAGGATACGAGAACCCAGCCACCCAGATGAGACGATGATGACAGCGGTGCTAGCCAGTCTTCAGACGGAGAGAACTCGGCGATTTCGGGAAACTGGGCATGTGAGGCAAGCCAACAGGGATCCCGAGAAATGATAATTAGAGGAAATCAGTGATTGGGGAAACTGGAACTGGTTCCGTGGTGAGGGGCAGCGAACAGTTTCCCTTATAAAAGTGAAGCCTGTGCCCAACTCCTTTTTTCGCTAACACCAACCTTCCTTATCCTGTTCAGATACGAGACTATTGCTTGGGGGCTGTTGGAGGCATTTGAGGCATCATTCATTGACCCCTGGAAAAAGAAACAATAGGGAGACCCTGCAGGAGGGAGGGGCAATCACTGACAGTGGGCGAGTCTGGTGAGTGGTCTCAGTGGTCTGCTTGCCAACCGTTTTCGACAAGTCGATCGTCAAGGGTGCAATACTACACCTGGAGCCAGGACGGGCCAGGCCCTGGATTCCCCATCTGACCGCCTCCGTGGCACCGCTTGGGAGTGTTCGTGACTTGGGAAGATGGCTGTCGATTGGCTCACGTTCGTTGTTGATCGAAACCGTAAGACAGTGGGAGACTTGGAGATTCTCAGTGGGAAGGTGGGCTGGTTAACGTGCGGTCCTTATCTTATCTGGCCTCCCTATTTAGTGGTTTCCCCGCCTTGAGTCCCGGCAGCAGACCCCGAATTCCCCACCTTGCCAAATAGGAGGGGTGGGGAACCCAGTACCCGTGGACCCCACTAGAGACGGGCTTGCTCCCACCTTTGACCATTTTTCCCCTTCCTGTACCAAGACTGTGAACCTTATGCCTTTACTATGCTCATTAGTATCAACAGTGGTGAGTATTTACCAAGCTATAAAGGTTCCATTTAGTGGATGCTTGGGTTTCCCCTAACCTAATAACCTGCTTGAGTACCTCGACAGCAATCCTCTGCTCATGATCCATCAATGTGGGTTCTATGTTTGAAGTCTTCTGATACGACAAGCTGCAAGCATCCGCCCCATCTGACCAGCTCGTCTTTGTTGCGGCCCTGAAAAGTTTGGCCACGCGACCAGGGGTAGCACGGGGATGTTGGGTGATGTCCTAATCCGCGGAGCCCCTCGTGCCCTGGCTCCGCACACAAGTGAACTGGCAGCTGTGAGAACGGCGTGTCGTGTGTCTCTGGCGTCTGGCAAGTTTAGCTCGCCGTGATTGCCGCCCGTTTCAGGTGGGAAGGCCGGCCCGCAAACCGACCTCACCGCAGGGGCGGGTTCCGAAGGTCTGCCGGGAGTGACCTAATATCGGGCTTGCGGAGCCCGAGAGTACATACCGGTGGGCCAATGAAGCGAGTTCAAGGTCGTCGGCTGTGTCTGGAAATGGCGCTGCTCTGGTATTTTTCTTATTACTTCTCCTATTTAGCACGCCGAGGTTCCGTTGGAGCCGGTAAAAGGACGGGAGTATTGTTGCCCTACGAATCATCATAGATGGGCAGGTAACTACATACTTGTTTCGACTTATGAAAGCAAACTCGGGTTTCAGGGAACACTCTCCAAGCATCGCCCTAAATCCTGGCGCACCTCCATAGGGTGAAAACCACTCTAGCCCGTATTGCTTTGTTAAGTGAAGACCAAATGTATAACCTTTTGAATAATCAGTCACCTTGTTTCATATGAGGAGGCGAATCCCCTCCTATGCACATCCATACAAGCGCTTCCCGCAGCTCGCTGAGTGAGCACCCTGACAGGGTTGCCAGTGCGTCACTGTTGGCACGAGGGATTGGGTTGTCAAAAGAGCCTAAGAGTTCATGAATGCTGGGCTATCTTGGCTAAACCCAGAGGGTTGGGAGCGTCCATCCTGGTTGGAAATCCGGCTTCTCGGAAACAGAGCAGCGGCTAACATGGCTCACGTGAACTCGCTCACCCGAGGGCATATTCCAGGTTGTTCGGGATGAATCAAATGTCACTAAAAAAAAACAAGTTGTTGATGATGCACTTCGTACAGGCTGTATCTTCGGCCTGTCTGTGTCCCTCAGTCATAGCAAATACGCATATACACATGGACATCGAGGGTGTTGAAGTTTTCGGGCATGTGGATGCGAAGCAGCTGACCGTGCCACTGCAACCGCCAATTCTGGTGTCGCCTGGCAGTGAAGCTTGGTTGAGCGTTGGATTGAAAAGGACCGGGTGACAATTACCACACATAATCTGAAAAGAGACAGGAAAGGCAGGCGTGGGCGTGGGGTGCAGCCAGCTCGTCAAACCCCGCAACTTCATTTTTTTTCTCGCAGTGTTTTTGCCTCACGGCGAAGGAACCAGATGTAGTATAGACTGGGCTTGTTAGAACGCATTGTAAAGAGCTGAAAGCCTGACATGTCTCTGAATTACCAAGACATCTTAAATCAAATTCCGAAGTAGGGCAACGATCGTCGACCAAGACGCGGAACATGATGTACGATGACCTCGTATGTACTCTGTTTCGGGATGAGCGTGAGTTGTGGGCCGCCGTTGCTGGCAGCCAAACGAAACGACCTCAAATCCAACCAGCGGTGTGAGCAGTGCAAGTGTAATTTGTTGTTGAGATAGAAGTCAAATTGTACCAAGTGATTATACATGAAGATGGTCGAGTTCATTTGAAAGAAAATCACCAAAGGGTAGAAGAGCTTTGCTCAGTAAGGTACCATCCTTCGAACTTGGATTCGAGGTGTTCCTGAAGAACAAAGGAATCTGCAGGGTAGCCGTGCGCATCTCCATATTAAAACTGTGCTTGTGCCTGCCATCACCGTGCTGGCGGCCGGAACCATCGTCGGCTGACAACCAGGGGAGAAGCCCAGCCCTCGCTTATTCTGAGGCTCCCAGCATGGAAAATCGAAACTGGTGTCCGAATCTGCGGATTTTCCGGTGTCATTCTTGAGTGGGTGGTAACGATGACGTCCCGGCATTTGTCTCAGGTCTCAAGAGCCGACACTGTATAGACACAGTGCTACCCCATGTGGCCAAAGTCACTCTTCCGAGAGACTGGCTGCCCGGGTAGTAGTGAACAACCCGCAACGAATCCGATACCCTCGGCTGATACCTAAATGGAGGGCATCACACATTAACCCAGGCAGCCCAGCCTGCATCTTCTTGGCTTAGTAGTTTTGCCTCGAAAATCGAGAGAATTACACGTGCTCCATGAGGTTTCTTGAGTGGTCTGCGGGGGTCTTGACAGTGGCGGCACAGCGTCTCCTTCGCTGCAACTAAGGGAGAGAAAATAAAAAGACAAGTCCACATCTTCATGCCCGCGTGCCGGATGCTGTGCATCGCCGTCTGCGGGGGTCCGCGGTTCGCTGGTTAGCCCTGCGAGGAATTCTAAATTTTAGAATTTGCGAGCCGTTCCTACCGCTGATATTCCGCGACACTGCATTCCAAGAGGCAAGTGTTGATTAATAACATTTTCTTCTCCATTCTCGATCGGATGAACGCCCTTGCTTCATTTTGCCATCGAAAGCCAACCCGGAGCCTCCCAGCGCTGTTTCTTTTTTATTTTGTTACCCATTAGAGTGGCGGTTCGAGGTACCCAAGGTACTTGGTCGGTACAAAGGCCACACAGAGGCCGAGTTGAGACCAAGACGGCCTGACACGGCCCCTTTAAATCCGGCGTTGCGCCGTGGCTTGGTCCCGTCCTCACAGGGCGACGCAGCCTGAACCCCACCAACCGATTTCTCCATCGATAACTCGGTCACCATCTGGCTACGGATTTCCTCCGCTCGCTGCGAGGAAATTACCCATCGTTCCCTTTGTTTTTTTCCCCTATAGATCTGCACGTACATTGCTCACCTCAATTATGCTCGGTATATGCGGCGGAAACTCAGACAATGGTGAGTCAGAAGCCTTGCGCCGCCGCCTGCTCAGCACCGCCCAGCGGGCAGAAAGCAAAAGTTGCCCCGAGTCCAAGTACGCTGGGCCTGTGCTGACACCGAGGCGTGCACTGCGCTCGTGACAGGCGAAGACACCACCACACGTCACGGTGCCGAGGCCCGCGACCGCCAGAGGCTCTCACCGGCTCTGCAAATACCCAAGAACAGGAGCACCGGAAATCTTGGGACCGTAGGCGACAATTCTGAAAAGGCTCGCATCCGCTTCTCGTTCGATGCCGGCGCTTCGGCAGCCGAGTACGACGCCATGTCAAGGTCAGCTCCGGAAAAGCAAGAAGGGTGTCTGTTGTTTGCGGGACAGGGACTGTTGCTTTGACTCGGTCAAAATCAGGTTCAGTCCCGCACTGATTCATGGCTGGTTACTGACCGAAGTCGTGTGGCGTAGGAGCTCTCTCGTCACCGACCATGACCACGGCTTGGGCATGTCCGGGCTCAGACGGATCCGCCAACAACCTAATGCCATGAGGACGCCTACTATGCCGTCATTATCGAGCAGGAACCCGTCACTTAGCGACTTGTCCCGGTCAACATCGGCCAGCATGTTTCTAGACCATTCGGCTCCACTATCGCCCTACCCGACATCTCCCACCTTTACTGAAGACCTCTCGCGCTTTCCGTCCGAATCACTCCATTCGTTCTCGTTCGCACACCAATCTGAAGACTTGATACACAACCGTCAGAACGTCTTGAAGCGATCTATGGAATTTATGAAGGACAGGATGGCATGGTCGGCCTCGTCAAACGCCGGGATAGCGAGCGCTCAAGCACGGGTGACGGGGGACGTGGAAACTCAAAATATGCTGGATCTTTTGGCGAAGGCACATCTGGTCGGCGCCGGGAATCTCCCCAACGGAGACCCCAGTATTCTTACCGGGCCATTAACCGGGCCAGCAACGACATCAAATGCAAACGTGTTTGACAGAGGCTTTGCCCCGAGGACCTCGAGCCCCGAGCCCATCGATAGGACCCCTCTCACGTCTCCGACCGCCGCGACACCCCCGCCCATGATTAGCGGAGTGGCGGTTTCTCGACAGGACGCCTCGGCTCCCGCTCTGGACTCGCCGCCGCACCCCCCGTCCGGCGAGAATACGGGGTCAGAGGGCTCATCGAGGACGCCAACGAACGAGAGCGGCGCGAGTGGTACCACGGCCAAGACATCACCACCGCCGTCGAGACGCCCTAGCATTCTAAAGCGTACCATGACCGACACAGACACAGTGCAGGTATCGGTGCAACAGAAGCTCATGGACGTCATGGCGCAGCCGTTCCACGCCACCGAGCCGCAATCGCAGCCGCAACACCGGCCATCACAGCCCTTTGGCCCTGCGGTACACCCGCCGACCGGCGCAAGCCCTGCCGTGCACAATCACCCGACAAGGTGGGTACCTGCCGCCCAGGCAATCTTTACGACCGAATCGAAACCGCCATGGACTATCCTTTCAGCCAACGACCTTGCTTGCTTGTTGTTTGGCGTCACCGCCGCCGAGGTTAGGAAAATGGGCATATTGGAGGTAGTCCAAGAAGAGAGGAGGGCATGGCTGGTTGGGAAGTTGCAGAAGAATAACCACGAGGATATCGGAGATGTCTCCGAGAGCGAGATAGCTCAGCCGGTGCCCGCCGTACAAACGTCCAGCCTCTTTGGCGCACGCGCCGGTGGGATCACGGCGAAGCTTCTCAGCAAACCGAATTCGAGATCGCAGACACCCAAGGCTGCGAGACGACCAGCCACTATCCACAGCGGTGATCCGAAGCCCCCCAAACCGGGGCAAGCTCACCGCCAGAGCAACAAATCCAGAGGTGTACTGCTCTGCGGTGACGTTGTCCCGATTCAAGTGAGTAAGAACCAATTCAGCGATGCAACTCAGACTAACATTCTGTTTAGAAACGCAATGGTGCGACCGGCTCTGCTAGCTTTTGGGTCATTGAGAAGCGGGTGGGGTTGATCTGGGTCTTGGAAGAGATCCACGAGGATGTCTCATACATCGACGTCGCTGAGGACGGCACAGTTCTCAAGCTCTCCGGCGCTCTGGGTACCATCTGGGGAAACGAGAGCTTACAACCAGGCCAAGATATTGGGTTGTTGATACCTCGAGTCCCTAGGCAAGGCATCGACCCCCGCTTCGGCGAGATCGACTACCGCGAGATCGCGAGGAGGAAGTATTACACATGTCGTAACTGCGACCGGGTTAACATTCCGGCGACGGTGGAACAAGTCAAGGGGACTACCCAACTGCGCGTGTCAAGCTTCCCGCATATTGCCGGCATTGTCGTGGTCTGCCCGCAAGAACTCACGATCAAGAGCTCCAACTCTGTGTTCTGTGGCGCACTCTTTGGTTACGAGAAGCCGGATGGGATCTCGATCAACCAACTCGTGCCGAATTTTGACAAGATACTGCGCGTCCTCACCGAGCGAGACGGCGTCCATCTTGTCGATGGTATTATCGTTCCGGAGCATTCGTTTCGAAAGGCATCGGCGTTTTTGGCCCTCGAGGAGGGACAACCAGATGCTGCTGCGGGGTTCCTTCGCCCTGATAGTCTTCCGGCTCGCCACCGCGATGGGTCTCAACTCAGAATCGACATCCAAATGCGGGTCGTAAAGAGTGAAAAGCAGGTTGCGACGAGCAACGAAGCTGTTCTGGAGAACAGTGATGATGAGTCACCAACGGGCGAGGCGAGCGATAAGTTTGTCCTGGCGCAAACAGAAATGGTGTACGCTCTCTGGATCACTTATTCACGGCACCTCCATGCTTCCCGGGCAAACATGGGGGTGTCATCACCGTTGGTTTCTGGTACCGCAACCCCGCTGCACCAACCATCACCCGGCCAGACACCGGCCCACACGCCACTTGAGATGCAATCCGATTCAGACGACTCGCAGAAAGAGGAGGCAAAGTCTCCGTCGTTGGCACGGCAGTTGAAGGAGGCCGCCATCACTGCCGCGGCCAAGTTGACCGGCTCACAGCGGGCTTCCGAATCCCAGGAGGAGCAAGCCAGCTCGTCCAAGCCGGCAGAGCCAGCGCAAAAGAAGTCGATCAATGACTTCACCATCCTCGAAGAGATGGGTCAGGGCGCATATGGGCAGGTCAAACTGGCAAGATACCGCAACACCGGCAACAAATGTGTACTCAAGTACGTCACCAAGCGACGCATTCTTGTCGACACGTGGACGCGCGACCGTAGATTAGGCACTGTCCCACTTGAGATTCACGTGCTTGACTACCTTCGACGGGGAGAGTTGAAGCACCCCAACATCGTGGAGATGGACGACTTCTTCGAGGACGAGGTCAACTACTACATTGAGATGGCGCCCCATGGCCTCCCCGGCATGGACCTATTCGACTACATCGAGCTGCGCACGAACATGGACGAGCAAGAGAGCCGCAGCATCTTCGTCCAGGTCGCCCGCGCCATCCACCACCTCCACACCAAGGCACAGGTGGTGCACCGCGACATCAAGGACGAAAACGTCATCCTGGACGGCGAGGGCCGCATCAAATTAATCGATTTCGGGAGCGCCGCGTACATCAAGAGCGGTCCCTTTGACGTCTTTGTAGGCACCATCGGTAAGCCCCCCTCTCCCCTCTCCTAGGCCGCCCTCCTCCCCTGGCTCCCCCCACTCTCTGGGTATCACACAGCCAGTAAACACTAACATGCACCCTGCGACAGATTACGCAGCCCCCGAAGTCCTCGCGGGCCGGCCCTACGGCGGCAAGGAGCAGGATGTCTGGGCCCTCGGCATCCTGCTGTACACCATCATCTACAAGGAGAACCCCTTCTACAGCATCGACGAGATCATGGACCGCGACTTGCGCATCCCCTACATCATCAGTGACGAGAGCATCGACCTCATCCGCAAGATGCTCGACCGCAATGTCGAGCAGCGTTATAACATCGATCAGGTCCTGGCGCATCCGTGGTGTCAGATGGAGTAGGCGGCTGGGGTGGGGGTGTTTCTCTGGTGAGATGGGGGTTGCTGTGTTGGAAGCATTTTTGGGAAAGTGAGAGGGATGGTGGGGATGGGGTCAGATTGTGATGAGGAAGGAGACGTTCCTTGAAGGGGGGATGAGGGTATTCCGGCGTTGTGGGAAGGGGAGGGGGTGGTTGAGAGAGAGAGAAGCGAAACTTGCATCAGGAGGTATGGTGCAAGTACGACACAGCGCGGGGTATGGTGGAAAGGACGGGGGGAGGCGGGGGAGAGGGGTGCCTCCCTTTGACTTTTTCTTTCTTCGTCTCATTTTTCATCTCGTCTTTCAAGGGATAAGCGTCTCTTCGGTCTATGATTTTGGTTGGCCGGGTTTTGGTATGGATATGGCTGCATCATCATTGGTGGCGTCTGGTTTCTTTTCTTTTTCCTCTTTGTTTTTCCGTTTTTCTTTTCCCTCCCTTTTGTTGTTGATTGATGCCCCTGCATGAGAGTTGATAAGATGAGACCAGAAGATATGATACCGACTGCATTGTTTTCGCATTGTTCTCTGTTGCTGTCCGGGATAGAATGGGAGTGGTGTTGTTGCTATGGCAGAGGTGGGTGGTGGGAGATTGTTCAGAAGGGATGAGAGCATGGAACGCATACAGGGTGCGGTTATACCCATATTCCTCCTATATACGCTGCAGTGAGCTGCCCGTTTCCCGTCTACAAATCGCGTATGGCGTGGGTTGTTGTGCTTGTTTTGTTGGATACTCAATATATTCCGGCGTTTTGCAATCACTTGCCGTTGAGATTGTCTGGGCCTTACCCACACATCTCCTAGTCGTCGTAAACAAGGAGAAGTGGCCCGTCGATAGTAATTATCCAGATGTGAGTGAGGTAAGTATGGGTGTTCATGATCCTTGATATGGCCTGCGCACCGGCAACGGGAGTAGAGTGAGTGTTTGTAAAGCGGCATTGCTAAGTTGTCTTGCATTCTGGATATATCCCCCAACCATCCCTGGAGACTTTGGCTCAGTCCAATCTTCAGTGGCCTGGGCACTGACAAAAATAAGGAAAAGAAATAATTATGTGGCACTTGCCTTCCCTACATTACACATCCCTCTCCCCCAATATCCGCCACAAATCTGGCATCACCTCCCAAAAAAGCTGTCACCTCCAAGAAGAATCATCACCTCCAAGAAGAGCCATCACCTCCAAGAAGAACTGTTGAAAAGAACCGCAACCAAACCAAAAAACACCAGCATCCCAGCAAATGTCACACCTAAAACCATCCACCCACCTACTTTTTCAACCCCCACCCCCTCCAAAGCTCTCTCTCAACCCCGAGCGCCTAGCTCGCAGCATTCGAAAACCGCCTCCCCACCCCCATCCCCTCTTCATAAAGCGCAGCATCATCAGCATCAGCAGCAGCCCTCTCCAAATCCACCTCCACCGACCGCCGCGCGATACTCGTCTCCACCCGCACCACCCCCTCCGTGGGAACAGTCGTAGTAGTGGTAGTAGTAGTAGCCGTGCCTGTGCCGGTGCCTGTGCCCGCAGGCTCACGCAGACGGGCTTTCCAGTAGACGTTGGACTCGGGGGTGTCGGCGTCGGTGGTAGTGTGGTTGGTGTTGGTGTTGGTGGTGGCCCAGACGCGGGTGGCGACGCCGATGTGGGGGTGGGGGGTTAGGCCGGCGTGGGGGGTGGTGGTGTTGGGGGAGGGGGTTGTGATTGTGGTTGGGGGTGTTGTTGTTGTTGCCCAGGGGGTGGCTTGGTGGTTGCGGTATGGGTTGGTTGATTTGGCGGTTGGTGTTGCTGATGGTAGTGGTGATGTTGTCAGTGGTGGTGCGCCGTGCGGCGGGGATTGGAATTGGTTTCCACGGGAGGAGGCTTTGGGGGATGGGGTTGGGAGGAGGGTTAGGAAGGTTGAGGGTTGGTGATGTTGTTGTTGTTCTGGTTTATGGGTTTGCATGGTAGGGATGTGGAGGGAGGGGAACTTTGGGAGTGGTTTGGTGAACGGGGTGGGCAGGATGTTGTAGGGGTTTCGAGCAGGAGGACGAGGGCCGGCTTCGATCTGGGCTGTTGTGGCGTCGATCTCGGTGACGGAAAGAAAAGACGAGACAGTCTTTTCGGGATACGAAAGGGAGTCGATGCCGCCGCTCATGGTGAGATCCTCGTGTTGGTTTTGGTTCAGAGAGGACGAGCGTGCCCTGTCGGCGCGGCTAGTTATCGAAATCTGCTCGGCAGTGGGAAGGAGTGAGTCCTTGTGGGTGGACGATGAGCTGTATGGTGCGAGTTAGTTTGAGAAGCGCGCCACATGGAGATGTAGAAAACATACCTAGTCCCGAGCAGGCTCATACCGCGCAGGGGACCAGCTAGCGAGCCCCAGCTGAACGAGGAACCGCCGCGTTTTGCGCGGGGCACATACTCTTCCCTCAGTTTAGGGAAGACGTAACCCAGACCAGCGGCCAGAAGCAGTCCGCGGTACATGTTCAGGGCCTCGGGGGTGGTGCCAAAGGGGATGAAGACGGCAATGCCGGCAAGCTCGGCAATGTAGACGATGTTCATGGAAGAAAAGCTCATCATGTCCGTGGTGGTGAAGGAAATAAAGTAGACGTTGAAAGGGTCCGGGCCGAAGTGGAGTTTGTCAAAGCCGTAAGGCAGATCCCAGGGGGCACCGTTCGACGATGTTCAAGAACAGCAAGACCATGATGAGCGGCAGCACCACGATGATGCAGACCAGCGTCATGAAGTAGAGCTTCCTCCTAACCCGATCCTGCCTGGCCGCGGCAACGTCGTCCTTGGACCGGGCGACCTCCCTGGTGACCTTGTCGATCTTTCGATAGCGGTAGAAGGTGAGAGCTGGGACACTGATGAGTGGATATCAATCTCAGAGGGGTTGTGTTGTGATGACTTACCGGCCATGTAAGCTGCGCCGACGGCGAAGACCGGGGTGGGGAGGATGTAGAAGACCAGGAAGAGCCAGTTAGGGTAGTAGACGGCACTGCATCCGATCAGAGTGGAGACGTTGTATCGGCCAAAGGTGGTAAAGTAGGTGAGGATGACCTGGATGACGGGGACGGTGAAGATGACCAATGCCGAGACGATACGCTGTCGGCGCCTCTCGCTGCGCGTCGGCTTGTCGGCGCGGTTGAGGGCAACCTTGGAGGCTAGGCCTCGCATAATCTCGAACATGCAGATGTTGAAGGCTGTATGCATAGCGAAGTAAGTGTAAGTCATCATGTCGCACCACCCTTGGCCCGCCCACCACGTCTGGACGTTGTCATTGCGCCATATCAAGGCGTTGATGACGGTTATAAGGTTGAGGACCAGGAGCATGATGCAGATGACAGCGCCGGCAAACTCCCCATTCCGCCAGAGAAGGCGAGCAGGTACCCATGTGACAAAGAGGGAGACGAGGCCGAGGAAGACCCTGAAGAAGAGGTTGACTTGGAGGGATGGAGACGTGTAGGGGGCGCCGGGCCCAATACGTTCGTCAGGGGTTGTTGTGAAGCCGAACTGGGCAAACCTGTTGGGAGGTAGTGTGGTGTTTGTCGAGGCCATGGTGGCAAAGGGTAAGTCGAGGCTGGAGGAGCCTGACAGCGCGAGGGAGAGAAGAGGGAGCTAGAAAAGATGTCTGTTTCCCTTCTCAGTTCTTGAACTTCAGGGGTAGACCGGTTTCGCTGGATTTACGAAGGAGAACCCAAGATAGAGTCGAAGCTGGTTCTAAAGAAGAGAAGAGGCACGCAAAAGAGAAGCAGAGATTCTGACGGCGGCGAGAGATGGGCAACATAAAGGAACACAGCAGCGAGCGGTGCGCCGGGGGGCGGCAGGGCGAGCTCTTCCATAGCTATTGCTCTATTGCTCTACTGGCTTATTGACGACAAGCTGTTCATTGACGCATTGAGACAGACGACCCCGATACCCCACTGTGATATGGTGTTGCGGTAAGATTTCTGGTGACAAGCGCTGAATAGGCTTATTGAAGCTCTATTCAACCCCAAAAGAGGCAATGCTCAGCGGCGGCAGAGGTTGAAGCCGCGCAGGTCAACAAAGAATACCAGCCGCTCCTGACCGCAAACAGCCCCGACTTCAGGGGTTCGAGCCGTCACCAAAGATTGATATTTGACGAGTTCGACGCCGGAAAGCGATGGATCGTGTCCGAGACTGAGTGCAATTTGGTTCGGTCGGTCCCGTGAGTTGAGGCTTTTCTATATTCCATTTTCCACAACCCTGCTCCCCACACTGCTGCCGTTTTGGTATGTACATACGTACACAGATACATGACGTCCGGTACTTCCACCTCGTCCATCTCGTCTGTGACAAAGTAATTTTGTGCGCTGGCTGTACCTGACTGTTGGTGTCTCGGACACAACCAACCTTTCCGCGCGTGTGCGCGGTTCTGCGGTTCCGGGGTTCTGTGTTTCCGCTGCAGCGTCGCGGCTGTGCATCGATTGACATCCCGGCATGTTGTTTTGCAGGGCAAAAAAACGGAGGACGGAGGTTAGGTTACTGTGTATGTATGTACATTCAGAAAAAGGACCCCGACGCTCCTAAGGAAGCGCAGTTCCGTTAAGCCGTTACGTTAACCAAGACGTTTATACGAATTAAGAAGAAAGTTGAGGGTTCGGAGACGGGAGGAAGCCAGCCACAATCTGAGACCTGAGACCTGAGACCTGAGACCTGTTTTGAGAACTCTCAAACTCGAGGGTTGGCCGAGTGGCTTAAGGCGTCTGGTAACGGGCGATAAGATAAGCCAAGAAATTGATAAGATAAGATATTGATATGTGGCGGGACCCACCTGAGCCACCATTAGTCGCAGAAGCTCTCGCACCAGCCACAAGAGGAATTGAGTGGTTCGCGTGTTAATTAAGCAATCAAACGCGACCGGAGCTCGCGCATCGCAATTCGACATTTTGACCCCGTCCCGAAACCCACACAGCCAGCCACATCGAAATCCGAACAACACCCCCAGACCCCCGACTAACGGGTCCATTCCATCCCTGTACTTGAACCATCGAAGAAAAAAGAAAAACAAAATCAGTCAAAATGTCGGCTTTCCTCCGCACCGCATCTCGCGCCGTTGCCGGGCCCTCGGCCGCCTCGCGCACCTTCAGCTCGACGGCCTCGCGCCCCATCGCCCGCATCACCGTCATCGGCCACCTGGCCGACACCCCCGAGCTGCGCGCCTCGAGCTCCGGCCGCGATTACCTGCGCTACTCTGTCGCCAGCAACTCAGGCTACGGCGAGAAGCGCACCACTAGCTGGTTCAACGTGAGCTGCTTCGCCAACGAGGGCTCGCGCCGGGAATTTTACCAGGGGCTACCTAAGGGGTATTTTTTTTTTTTTCTTATCTGCAGGTCCGCATGCTTTACGGTACGGGTCCACTAACAAGAAGAACAGGACGATGGTCATGGTTGAAGGCGATGCGAGCATGAGCAGCTATGTAGACGGCGAGGGCAAGCCCCGTCAATCGCTGAGTATCGTACAGCGTATGTTGCACCGTGACGTGAATGAAAATGGCAGCATGCTGATTATTCCAGGCAACCTCGAGGTTTTGCGCCGCCCCTATGACCCCAACCGCGCGGCTGGCGAGGTTGAGGGCGAGGTCGAGAGCCACGGCCACGGCCGCGGCCTCGGCCGGCCGGAGTAAATAGCGAGTAGAAGCGTCGCTTTTACGGTTGAGTCATTAATGACGTCGATACAAATTGTAACGATGCGTTCTCTCCTCTCTAGAGCTGTATCAAACTAGATGCGCGGTATGATTGGGGTTTTCGGCGTCGGGGACGTGCTGTATTTTTACCATCTCAAGTACCATACCAATGGCTTTGCTTGTGTGTCTCGCTGAATACTGGGTGCCCACTTGAATTAGTTATTATCATTTTATTTCTACATGTTGTTTCTATCGAGCACTTCTCGGAACATATCATAGGTTTCATGGCCCAACTGTGGTTTGAGTGTGTGAGCATGCTCAAACTCAAAAGCCCACTAGCTAGCGCCAAGACACCCGGCACCGCAGTCTGGCCCCTTATCGCTTATCGGTCGATTGATTTTCTGTTCTCGGCGGCACCCGTCCCACCACTATCACCACATCCCAGCTGAGTCAACTCTGGACGTCATGTTGAGGCTATGGCTTCCCAGGGGCCTGGGTAGACCACTTCGGAAGCCCGTTTGCCGTAACATAGCCATTATCAAAAGGCGAACCTTTGCGACCGTTAGTTCCGACACGAGGTAGGTTTACACACACAACACACACACGAGCCCACACTGGTTGCGCCACTGCTAACCTTAACTTGTCTCTTTCAGGCCGTTCGATGTCATTGTTATTGGTGGTGGCCATGCCGGCTCCGAAGCGTGCGCCGCAGCGGCCCGCGCGGGCGCCCGCACCGCCCTCATCACCCCCGAAATCGACAACCTCGGTGTCTGTTCGTGCAATCCGAGTTTCGGAGGCATTGGCAAGGGCACCATTATTCGCGAGATTGATGCCCTAGATGGGCTGGCGGGGCGCATCATTGACAAGGCGGGAGTGCAGTTCAAGATTTTGAACAAAACAAAAGGAGCGGCTGTCTGGGGTCCCCGCGCTCAGATCGACCGGGTCCTGTATCAGAAGCACATGCGCGAAGAACTCGAGACGTACCCGAACCTGTCCATCGTCTTAGGCAGGGTTTCCGATATCGTCATTGCCGACAATCACGGCGACGCCGACGCCGACGGCGCCAAGGGCAAGATCACGGGCGTGCGTCTCGAGTCGGGCGAGGTGCTACCGACGACCCAGGTCATCATTACGACAGGAACCTTTCTCGGCGGCGAAATCCATATCGGCATGGAAGTATATCCGTCTGGGCGGATGGGCGAACAGGCCACCTTTGGCCTGAGCAAGTCGTTGCGGGATGCGGGATTCCAGCTTGGCCGGCTCAAGACGGGCACGCCGCCGCGGATCGCCAAGAACAGCATTAATTGGGGCATACTCGACGAACAGCCCGGCGATGACCCACCCATGCCCTTCAGCTACCTTAACGATACCGTTGCCGTTGGTAACGATCAGCTCCTCTGTCATCTCACCTACACCAACGAGGCCACCCACGAGGTCGTGCGAGCGAACCTCGACAAGACGATCCACATCCGCGAGACGGTCAAGGGCCCACGGTACTGCCCCTCCCTCGAATCCAAAGTCATCCGCTTTGGCGAACGTCCACGACACATCGTTTGGCTCGAGCCCGAAGGCTTCGACAGTGACGTCATCTATCCCAACGGGCTGAGCATGACGGTGCCCGCTGAGGCGCAGGAACAGCTCCTGCGCACGATCCGCGGCCTCGAGAATTCGGTAATGCTGCAGCCGGGCTACGGCGTCGAGTACGACTACGTCGACCCGCGCAGCCTCAAGCGGTCGCTCGAGACCAAGGCCATCCGAGGCCTCTTCTTAGCCGGCCAGATCAACGGCACGACGGGCTACGAAGAAGCCGCAGGTCAGGGGATCGTGGCGGGGATCAACGCGGGGCGCGCCGCCCAGGGCCTGCCGCCCGTCACGCTCTCCCGCTCTGACGCCTACATCGGCATCATGATCGACGACCTGATCACCAAGGGCGTGTCAGAACCATACCGCATGTTCACATCGCGGTCCGAGTTCCGCCTCAGCACGCGGTCCGACAACGCTGACACCCGCCTGACACCCTACGGCCGACAATGGGGCGTGGTGTCGGACGCGCGCTGGGCGCACTTCCGCAATGACGTCCAGCTGGCCGCCGACTTCAAGAACCTCCTGCGCAACATGAACCTCACACCAGCCGAGTGGCACCAAGCAGGCATTCCCATATCTCACGCCCTGAGCAGCATCCCCGGCGTCAGCAGCACCAAAACCGACCGCAAGCGCGACGGGCACGAAGTCATCCGCCTGCGGGGGATCACAGCCGAACACATCATTCACGCGCGCCTGCCGGGGCTGACCGAGGAGGACACGAACACAAAGAACCCCCACCACCAGCAGAAATACCCACCACGCGTACGCGCCCGCGTCGCCGTCGACGTCGTCTACGAGCCGTACGTGCGCGCCCAGGCCGCCGAAGCCGCCCGCCTGCACCGCGACGAGGCCCTGGGCCTGCCGGGGGATCTGGACTACGAGACCGTCCAGGGCCTGTCGATTGTCGAGCGGGATGTGCTGTCGCGGGTGCGGCCCGAGACGCTGGCGCAGGCGCGGCGTATTGAGGGGGTGACGCCGGCGGGGTTGGTGAAATTGTTGGCGGCGGTGAGGAGGGGGGATAAGGAGAGGGAGAGGGAGAGGGGGATGGGGATGGGGAGGGGGGAGAATGTGGTGGGGGTGGGGATGGTGGAGGGGTTGGATGTGGCTGGGGTGGAGGATCTGGAAGCGTTGGATGCGAAGAGTCGGGCGGAGGGGTTGTGAGAGCTTGTGTCTTATGCTTGCTTATCTGGGCATTGTATGTTAAGATTGGTTGAAGGGGGGGCGTATCACCTAGATGTGTATAACTAGTAGATGACGACCAAACACATATGGGACGGTTAAAGGATTGGTGTTTTTGGGAGTAAATTAGTACTTTGGGGTTGCTGGTTACATAGGTAGGTGGGTAATGAGGAAACGAGTTACAACAAAGTGCTATCCACCACACCGCGCTACGCCGCGCCATTGATGTAGATTTACAGTTGTGCTCCATAGGATGCAAACACGCAGCTCGGTAGGGATCGGACCTATAAACGCAGCTGCCACTTGAACAGGCCACCAACAAAGGGTGCCCCAAGCGGAGGAGGATGGGTTGAGGAGAGGTCACCGGAGCATGGGAGAGCGCCGGCCTTGGTGTTTCACCTGGAGTCCTGTTTCTCCTGCTCCGCTTTCTTCTCCTCGGCCTGCTGCGGTGTCAAGATCTTGACCGCGTCCTTGCTGTAGATGTAGCTGGCGCCGCTCCAGACAGTAGTCGTGGCCACGACATAGCTGTGGTGAGAAGTTAGTTAGGAGTCAAAATTGGCGGGCACACACTACAGCCAGACGAACAGGGGGGCTACTCACTGCATAATGCCCAACATGCTGCTCATATCCACCGCCGGGACCACGGGCGCGAGGGTCGTCAGGCCCACGAGCCCCAGCTGCAGCACTGTGTTGTACTTGCTGATCTGGGTCGGGTGCACCTCGGCCGAGGGCAGGGAGAAGTCCCAGTACCGCGCAAAGGTTTTAGGCGGGGGCAGCGAGATCCAGCGGTAGTAGATGGCTGAGATGGCCAGAGCGACGTCCCGGCCGAGGATGATGACGGCGAGCCAGACTGGTGGCTTGGTGAGCAATGGCCAATAATACGTGGGAGAGCGGATAGGAGGGAGAATAGAGGAAAGGAAGGGGTACGGAGAGAGAGAAAGAGAGAGAAAACACAACTGTACCTGGCAGCGCCCCCTTCACAGCCAGGGCCACAGTGAGCACCGTCATGAGCGTCTTGTCGGCCATGGGGTCGATCACGGTGCCCACGACCGTCCCGAGGTTCCAGCGGCGGGCGATCCAGCCGTCGAGCGCGTCGGTGATGCCGGCGTAGGCAAACAGACCCAGAGCGGCGGCATGGTAATCGTGTAGGATGCAGTACCCGATAAAGGGCGCGGCGACGAGGCGGGAGGCGGTCAGGATGTTGGGGATGGTGTAGATATTCTCATGGCGTAGGTTTGCTTTGGGCAGAATCTTGCTGAGGGCAGAGGCAGGGCCCTGCTTGGCTGGCGCGGGAATAGGACTGTTGGACGTTAGCATGGAAAGCGGGATGGAGTAGGGCATGGATGGCGGGAGACATGATGGACGGCATGCGATAGGAAACCAGGGGTAGAGTCTTCTAAGATCGGCCACGCCATGACCTAGCAGCCAACACACGGCGGAAGGGAAGATGTAAATTCCATACCTCTTCTCACTTCCTGTGACCTTTTCGCCATCACGCCTCCACCTGCTCGACACAACGAACCACCTCGCTTGGGCGTGAAGGCAGACTCCCATCGCAGGCCCCAGACCAGCTTCCTTCCCAAAACGTCCTGACGATACCGAGCTAGACAGAACATTCCCAGTCTGCTGCCACTGCCTCCCGCTAGTCAGATACCTCACACCCCCAAGGTTAAGGCTTCCACCCCCTCCCCTGGTCACCCCGGCATACAAGCCCGTCTTCCCAAAGCGAACCGAGGGAGCCCCACGCCCCAATGCGGCGGAGGTTGGCATTGTGGAACACAACATGGTCGTTGCACGCACTCTCTCGATCCGCAGCCCTCGGCCTTCAACGAACAACTGACAACCCTCGAGTCTCCCCAACCGCACCAGACGGCCCCGTTCTGAACGTTGTAACAACTCGGCCGATTGATTGATTGATTGATTGACTGATCGAGTAGCTCGGATTTCGAGCAACCACCAGTGACAAGGGAAACTTCCAGAAGGGTGGGGGGCAGCACCCCAATTATCCACTCTACTCAGCTCCCCAAGCAAGGTAGCAGGTGAGTGTCTCGGTGAGTCTGTTCCGCGCAGCTGCTGCCGAGGATGCAGCGCAGAACCGGAAGATGGGGCGACTCGGGCAATTGAATGGATACAGCGCTGCCGTGCTATTGCATTCTGTTTCCCCGGCTAAATTGAAATGGGTTATCGCTGTTCAAGTACAAGCGGAGAATTGGCCTTGGGGAGGGCTGGGATGGGACGTGGTGCACGTGAGCTTGAAACGGGCGAAAGCAACAAGCGCATCCCAGGGCGCTGGAAAGAAAAGGCTTGACGTTGAGCCAAAGAAAATCAGCAGCAGGGGTGGGGTGGGGTACCACTTTTTTTCCATCAGGCCCTGTCACTCCACGAGGTAAAACTGCCGAGCCGTTGAAACATTGCAGGGGACAAGTCTTGGTATTTCTCGTAGGGCTGAGGGTTTCTGGACGACATCAATAAAAATAAAATAAAATAAACACGAACAGATCAGATTAAACAGACTTTAAGACTCAACAACAGAAGACAACCATCTCTCCCTAGAAGACAGGCGAGAAATTCTAGAACTGCATTGAGGAACTGAAGTCGAGCCAAGGAGATTAAAAGAGATCAAGCAAAAAACATGGAATAAAAAGAAGAATCGGAAAAAGAGAGCACTTTAAGAGGGAGAATCGAGTAAGACGGCAAAGGGACACAACTCGAGACATCTAAGCAACAAGAATTACTATTAACGATTACTATTATCTATCAAAACCGAACCCCACTCCCAACTAACCCTCCCACAACGGCCAAGGCGGGCTCCCAGGCGGCGGCGAATCGGCAATGGTCCCCCCACCAGCGAGGATGTCCGCGCGCAGCTGAGCCTCGGCCGCCGCAAAGTCCTCTACGAAGTCGAGCTCGGGCCCGAAGTAGGACGCAGCACCGTTAGCAGGGCCAGCAGGGGGTAGTGGCAGCTGCTCTGGTTGCGGGGCGGCTGGGAAGACTGGGGCGCTCAGGGTGGGCCCAGCGGCGAGGGGCGCTGGGGGGACGACAGCGGCGGCGGTTGGGGGGATTGCAGCAGCGCGGGTGGGCAAGGCTGCGAGGGAGACCGGTGCTCCGAGGGGAGCCTCAGCGATGGGGGAAGCTGGGGGGTTGGGGGGGACCGGAGATGGCGGCAGGGGCAGGGCCGAAGACGGTGGCAGGCGCCGGAGCCGAGTTGGCTACGAGCGTAGCGTAGGCCGAGGCAGCGAGGGCGGAATGGGGGTACGCCTCGGCAAAGACCCGTTGGGCGTTGTGCCACGCCGAGGGGTCTGCGGCGGGGCCTTCACCGCCGTCGTCGACCATGGCGACCTTGCGTGCCTTTTTTCGCGGCTGGGCGGAAAACTCGGCGCTGAGTCCCCAGGGTATAAGGGTGCTGCCAAGTTGGGATCGTGGGCGAAGAAGGTTGCCGGACTTGGCGTCGGCCTCGGTGTAATAGGCCGCCAAGTTCCATTCCTGGCCACAGATCAAGAACTTGATGCCCTTCTTGATCAGGCCGCCCTTTCTGCTCCTGGCTAGGCCGACTAGCGCACCCAGATAGGGCTCGTGGTCCGCCCTCTGCGCTTTTTCTGCTGCCTATCCCAAGAGTTAGCCTTTATAGTGTTGTGTATGCATGTGGAAAAGGATTACTTACGAGATCCGACTCGGTCATGACTTCGCTTGCTGGAGTGGTGTCCGTGGCTATTTCCCGGTAGACGTTGATACCGTTTCCCAGGTTTCGGCCGTCCGACCACTTCACGCCGTCTCTCAGGCGCTGATACTCAGCACCATACACATAGACAGCACCGCTTTGTATGTGCAGTGCGTCTGCTGTGCGGGTGTCGAGCCGCGGGAGGGATTGGGCTACTACAGCCGCCTCCACGAGGTATGTAGCATCCCATGACATTGCTCGTATTGGGAGCTTACACTACGCGGCGGGCAGAGGGTGAATGGAGTGGAGTTACAATTGTAGTAGCTACAAACTCGGCGAAGGTTGGTCGTGTCCAACCACGGGGAAAGTCATTTTCGTCTTTGGAAATGCGTTATCAAGTCGAGGAGAAGGAGCGAAGGCCGAAGGGGAGGAGCAAAGGTCGGAGGGGAGGAGGGAAGGTCGAAGAGGTGGGATCAACTTAGCCTACCTTGACATCGCCATGGGGCAGGGTAGGAGAGAAAGTGGACGAAGTTGGGTGGGAGAGAGAGATGAGTGGAAGTGAATGAGGTTGGGCGAGAGAGAGGGAAATACCTAAACGACAAGCGGCAATAAGGCAGCGTAAACAAGGGGGCAAAAATGAAGCTGGGACGATAAACAAACATGGGCAGAGGGGCTCGACAGTGGCCGACTCTGACGTGCGCGCACAGACTTGTTCTGATCAAGACCCAATTGTGGAATCTAAACCCATTATTACGATGGCACGAATAGCATGTGAAAACATTGATGCCTGCTCTGATAAACTAAAAGAAATAGAAGGAAAAAACATCTCCGCAAATACAAAGATAAGTCCCCTTTCGCCTCTCAACCGTCATATATGACCATACCTTCGGTTTTGGTTTCTCTTGTTTGGAAATACGGGAACTTCGTCAACTTCCACCGAGTAAAAATAGCAAGGGCCAAATAAGTAGTTGTATCTTTTCCAGAGTTTGTTTTTTAGCGTCTTAGCCTCTCTATGGAGGTTATCTAGACACACATCATATATCAATCGGATCATGATGGATTTAATTTCTACTAGACGTGTTTTCATAAGTATCTATACGATGTGTATCTGTAAAGCACGGTTAGTATAGGTTCAAATAAGTGGCTAGTTTCACTATAGTTGCCTATTTCCTCACTGTCTTCCCCTGAAATTCAGACGATGGTGAGCCGGCACCAGTGTGCCAAGACAACCAGCGTTCGCAGCACAACCACCGGTGCCCCGCCAACCCGGAAAGGGGCAAGTCAACATCAACTTGCCACTCTCACCTTCAAATCGAAGAATACATTAATTTCCTCATAAAACTAAAAACAACATACCCCAGTAACAAGCAAACACCCTGTCTTCTCCGATACCACGCGCACAAACCACCTCCCATAGAATGGTGGGAAGCGCGCAGGACCGACATGGACCATCATCCCATAATCCAGACACATATCAACAACCCAACATCATCACCAACAGCGCCACCATTGCCACCCCGCTCCCCCAAAGACAAACAAGCTAACCTACGTCACACACCCCCCTCTCTCTCCCTCCCTCTCCCTCATCACCCACCCACGGCCCCACCCACCAAACTCACCCCGCCTGAAAAAACCACGGCCGGCCCGCATCAGTCCCCGCCGCCTCCTGGCAGATGACTCTCCCCGGCCACTCCATCGGCACCGGCAGAGAGCCCTCAAAGTCGCCGAGGCCGAGGCCGCGCGGGTCCCGGGCCGCATGCGCCGCGGCGCGCCGGTCTGTGTAGATGATGTCCTTGGGGCCTGCGTGGCGGGCGATGGTTTCGGCCTCGCTGGAGTGGGAAAGGGGGTCGGAGATGGGGATGAGCACGCCGCATTCCCTGGGTTGGGGTTAGTATTATATCCATCTATGCAGTGGTATTGGGAGGGAGAAGGCGCGGGGGGGAGGGGGGGGGGTGGTGATTGTCTTGAGTTGGGCACACGAGGCGTCTTGCCAAGTTGCGATGAGGGGATAGTGAGGCAAGGAGGGCTTACCAGTTGCGGCAGGTGAGCTTGGCCTTTTTGGTGACGCGGTCACGGACAAGTTTGCCCCTGTAATGTGGTGAGCTGGGCTCGAGGGCGGGTAGGGAGGGAGGTAGTCAATAACGGGGTATTGGCGGAGGAACGTACCAAGCGCTCTCGGAAAGGTTGGCGCTGCCTACATAGGCCAAACATTGGTTCCACCTGATGCCGGGGTCATTAGGGCGGATGTATATGACCTTGCTGTGCATGAGCACGCCTGGCCTGACCGACTTGCAGTCTCGGAGGATTTGTTGAGGAAAGGTTGGGGCTTGCCACCATATGGGCTTGAAGCAGATCGTTCCAGCGCCCTGTTTGGTGTAGGCGGGCACATCGTCAACTTGGGGCTGCCTGAGGTAGGTAGTGACAGGGCAAACAAACCTCCTTCCCTCCTTTGCTCTGGAGGACGGTCTCCCGCGAAGGGAAGAATACCCGCATATGTTCCTTGACGAGGAATTGCGCCCGGTCATTGAACGCTTCACGCTGGCCTTTGCTCCCCGTACGCGCTTGGTACTCCACTAGGGGGTCACCGAGGCAGGCATAGTACATGGCCGAAAGAAAGTCGTAGTTGATTGCTCCGAGAGACGCGCACTGCGCAATTGGTCAGCATATCTGCGTCGCCATTCTAAGACACGCAAGTTTAGCCGATCCAAATAACAACAAACTTACGACAAAGTCGATGTCGATGGGGTCCCTAGTAGCGCGGATAAGACTGCTGACCGCTTGACCAAAACCGCAGTAACCTAATGAACAGAAGACTGTCAACTGTGCTCCCAAGAAAGCAAATTAGGTGTGAGGCCGTACCTGTTCGCCTCCACGCATCCTCGTCTGTATGAGACCCCGGGCTGGTAAGGTGAGTTAGCATTAGGTAGCTGCGATGGTTGAAAAGCAAGTACGTGGCAGCTCACATTGTATGCACGAACTTATACCGACTGGCTTCGGTGAAGTCGTAGTTCCGTAAGCTGGAAACGAGCTTCTCATCGAGCCCTTGGGCTCGGAGGAAATAGAAGAGCTCCGAAGAAAATGGATCGGGCTTCTGCGCTTCCCTCTGTTCCGCAGTCTCAAACTTCGGAAGGTCGATGATGAACACCATCTACAAACCGTTAGCACTCAGCCCACCAACCTCAACACTATCGGCAACAAGGACAACTTACGTTCTCCATCGTTCCAGTCTCTCCCCAATCATACGACATGAAGTTCCCGGTCGGCACCACAATCCGCATGTACCGCTCATACTTGAGCAGCATCAGCTTGGAGTGCATCGCCCCGATACCGTGCATGGGCGGGAAGCAGAACCGAACCCTGTTTTTCGGCACATTGGCACGCATCTCTGCTTTCTGTTACCATTTTGTCAGCAAAAGTCTCCAACTGAACCAACTGGCGGCTCCGCTCACCTGCGCCTCGCTAGCAGCAAACGCGATCAGCATGAGCTTGGTCCGCGTGATATCGATTTTCGATAGCATCCAGTGTTCGTCCCACTGGAACGAGCTCACCACAGCGAGCTTGAGGTCATTCTTCTGGAGGACTTCTTCGATTTTGATGTCGTCGCCTTGCCGGGGTTGCTGATATACCCACGTCTTTTTCACGACCCCGTGAGGGAAAGGGAGGACCAAGGGCGGCCGTGAAGAAGAAGCAGGGGCTGCAGCTTCGGGCGCCGCTGAACTGGTATCCATTGGGACCGACGATGATGCTGCACCTAAGGGAGAGGCTTTGGGTACTCTAGACTTCTCGCCAGACGATAGTGAGCCTTCTCCAGCTATCTTCGGCCGCTGCGCCGGTCTGTCGGGCAGCCGAGCATCGATTCCGTCGCCCATATCGACCTGGGAAACCTTGCGCTTGTGCAGCCGTGCAAGCCGTTCCTCCTCCATCTTCTTCCTGTCTAGTCCCAAGGAAGAAAAGAACGATGTCGAGGGAGCCGTCCGTTCACCTATTGCTGATGCTGCGGCGGCGGCCGCCTCCTGCTGAGATGCGGGTTTGGCCTTGCTAGCATGGCCACTGTCGACAATGATGAGATCATCATCCTCATTATTCTTGGGGTCTCCGCCGCTGCTGCCCTGGCCGGAACTACCACCATCTTCGGTAAGATCAATCACTTGGCGAACGTTCTTCCGGCGCCATTCTTGCGGATCACATCCGAGTGAGAGCGCGATCGCTTGTCTCAATTCTTCGTCATTTCCTATGTCCTCGTCGGCCTCATTTGCCCGGGGGTCGGCCATCGTAAACGGGGATTGATGTCGATTCTGGATTTTGTTGTTTTGATGACAGCGATGTTGGTGCCACTGCCAGGCAACCGTCGGCCGGCAAACCAAACTAAATAGAAAAAGCCGGGGTAAGAAATTGCGGCTTGCGGTCGATGAAGCTCGAAGGTGCAAATGGCGCTGTAAAATACTCAGGGTAGAAGGATGTGCGAGTTATGGTTTAACCACATCCAAATTCTTAGTATCCTGGCTTTACAAGCAATGTTTAGACATGAAAGAAGTTGTCGAGAGCTCACAGGCGCCGGCGGTGAAAGCTGGAAATCACGTGATGATACACCTGTGCGATTTTAGAAAGCAACGGAAGAAAATGACACTTGACAAACAATGAGAGTTTTGTTTGCGTCTGTTGAGGTTGCTGAATGCCTGTGGTTTGGTTTGTAAAGTGTAAAGATACTCTTGTTTGGTGACGGGGTTACACCACTGATTCGTCAAATCAGCTAAGCTCATATCAAACTCACTGGGGTAAAAAAACATCACTCATTCAAATAAGCTAAGGGAAGTGGGAGATAATGTGTCTTTCGGCATGTAACTAAAACTACCCTAGGTATGTCCGCTGTAAAATTTGTCGATGGCCGAATCCACGATATATGCTTCCCAAAATTTTTTTTTTTGTTTTTCTCTTGTTATATTGTCCCGTGACGTGACGTGTGGTGTTGGCCATGTGGTGCGTTTGGTGCGGACCGAGATCCGCTGGTCGTCCACCTTGCCTCCAAAGACTGCGTCCCACCCATTCTCGTTGACACCTTATCCCAGCGCTGCAGCCGGGAGCCCCCACCACAGCGAGAAGCAAGGCGACGAACGAGAAGAGCCTCAAAGCTGGAGCGAAACATCACATATGCGTCACCCCTTACTCTCCAAACCCCCCGACCAGATCCCGCCCTGAAGCCCGTCCGCCCGCTAGATGCCATATACTTCCCCCGAGGGAGAAACCAAGGCCAACCCGTGCTGGCCATTCCGTCATAGGCCGAACTCCCGAAACCTCCGGAACCTAGAAAGCTCCAGCCTCCAGCGGCAAAGGGGGTATCCGATGAAAAAATACCAGTATCCTCAAGCATTAGTCATATGAGTCCATGCCCGCCCCAAACCAGAATAATGTGGGGAGGATAAAATGGCGTAGACCCAAGAGATATGGCTCGCCAGCGCGGCGGAAAAGTACCGAAAAAGATGCGACCCCTCCTTGTCTCTCCAGATGTCCGTGGTGTGTTGCTCCGTGCCCCATATCTCGCCCCAACCGTCTATCGCAAACCGGGACCGCACCCGATTATCTCCTCCTCCGCCCAATATCCGGCGCCCGCGATGTGGGTGACAAAGATCCTGCCGGCAACCTCCCCCTCAGATCCAGGAAAAAATGATGCAGGTATGACGGAGGATAAAAAGAAAACGAAGGTACCAGGCGCCCGTCTACCGCCCCTGAACGATGCAAGCGAGAGCCAAGCAAAACGCGCCCATGCCCTGTGCCAGAAAACACAACACACAAAGCTCCGTCCAACCGACCGACCGCCGAGGCACCGTCGCTCCCAGATGCGTTAGAACCATACTCAGTCCCATCCAGCCGCCAGGACAACTCCTCCCAACGCCAAAAAAAAAAAAAAAGAAAAAAAAAAAAAAAGAGAAACCGAAACGAGGGATGAGTAAGAAGAGAGAAAAAAGAAAGCAGAGAGTGGTAAAACATGATTCCAGATTCGATAAAAGAAATTCCGGATGGTGAAGTTGCCAAGAAAGCTGTCGCAAATATAGCTTTGTTTACTCCCCCCCCCGCCGGAGGGGGGACATGGCCCCAAACATCCAACACCATCTATGTCAGGAACTCCGATAATTCGGCCGCGGCGGCGTTTCCGGGGCCGGCCCAGGATTCATCTTTAGCATGCGCCGCAGGCTATCCTCCATGTGCAGAAGGTCGGCTGACCGGCCATTAGTCGGACTGTTGGTGGCCGGAGGCGTACCTTTCGACGACGCCGGCGGCGAGATGTTTGGAATATTCTCGGGGGCGAACGGAGACAACATCTCGCTGAACTTCGATGGCTGATTCCCTGCTGAAAAAGGGGGTAGGAAGTCGGCGGACCGCGGGGGTTGGGCACCCGACAAGAATGGATGCGAGGGATGGTTGGAGGGCGTCGGCCAGGGCGCCGTCTGGGGCGCGGAATTTTCCAGAGCGGAAGGCCCTTCGCTTGGGTTTGAGGGAATCGCCAGGAACCTCTTCAACCTCTCGCTCATATCCATTGCCGCCTGGTCCTGCGGAGATGGCAACGGATTATGTGCTGGCTCGGGCGGCTTCTTGTTGGATCGGGCCTCTCGGATCCGTTCCTGGAAAGGCTTGGAGAGCGCCGGCCCAATCACCGTGCTCGGCACACCGTCGAGCTCGCTGGTGGGGATACCAGATGAGGGATTGCGTTGGGGGAAGGGGCGGCGATTGTTGGCGCCGAACATGGCTCCGGGGAGTGTCTTCGGCTCAGTCGGGGAACGGATCTGGGAGGGAGGAGAGAAGGGGATCGGCTGCGACCCGAGGATATTGGCGGAGCTTGCCCGGCGCGCCCGTTCCTTTTCGGCCCTGTCGGCACGGAAGAAAATATCGAGGGGGGACTCATGCCGGGACGTGTTTGTGGGTAGGAGACGGTGCTGCGGCGTGGGAGCGGCCTCAGAATCGGTCACAGGGGGGGAAGGCTCACGGCTGGCGTGGTCGGTTTCCTGCACCGAAGGCGAGTCTAGGGCCCTGGACAGGAAGCTGGGGATGGGAAGGGAGTCGGGCGCGGGAGACGCATGGAATGTTGCGCCGGCAAAAGCGGCCGCGGTGATCGGCTTGACTGAGGTGGTCTGTGGAGGTGTTGTTCGACCTTGCTTTGCAGGCCCCGGCGACGACACCTGCTTCGCTCGCCCTTTGTTTCCGTTCCGAGCCTTCGATTTGCCCGCATGCGGCTGCGACAAGGGAGCTGGACTGTTGGACGCCGACTTTTGGGGGGTGAAGGGCCCCGCGAGCTCGATCGGAAAGAGAGCCTCACTCGGCATGTCGTTCTCGGAAGCATAAGTCTTGCGCGCTGGCGAGTTGACGGGTCGCTTCGGGCGTCGCCGAGCCGGAGTGCCTTTGTGAGGTGGCAACGATGGTGGTTGAGGTTCCATTTTTTGCGAAGCCGGCGTCGGCCTAACGAGGTTTCTGCGAGACCAGGAAAACGGTGGGTTGGTCGAGGTTTCGAGTCGGGAAAGAGGGAGGCCCAACGGAGGGTGTGACGAGATTGACTCCTCCTACCGATGGTCTGTTTGTTTGTGCTAGGCGGGGCAACGGGTCAATGATTGGAGGGGGGACGAGGAAAGGCCAAGGGAAAGGCCAAGGGGATGAGAAAGAAAAGGACTAGTGTAACGAGGCACAGCGCTGGGATGTGGGAATTACCGAGTATTATTGTAGTGGTATAACAAGTACTTCTTTTGGTTGTGTTTTCTCGGAGCATGTTTGGTTTTGCCTTAGTTTCGAGATAGCAAAAGTGAGGAGGACCGAGCTTTCCTGCCTGTCTCGGGGCTGAGCGCGTTGCGATGGAGGCCTGGGGTTAGGGAGGTCGTTAGTTCGGGGGTGGGTGGTTGACAACCACTGGTTGTGCATACTAAGCAAAGCTGAAAGCGGAGGTTCTTTCACCAACCCTGTCTCAGATAGACCCCCCCTTTGGCTCTCGGCAAATTCAGCGTGGTCTTCCATATCAGCGGCGAGCAGGAGATGGGGCTTTTGTGAATATCGTCATTACCGTTATTATGGCAATATATCGTGTGTTTCTGCCCACCAGCAGAATATAGATAAATCGGACGATAAATATGTCTTCAGGTTTGTAGTCAAGTGGCCAGGTGAGTCAAAAGTCGTTCGTTGCCTAGTCTTGTTGATTCTTGCCTGGACTGCACTGTGGAATTTACTGTGAATCAAGCCACTGCTGAATTTAGGCAGGACAAGGTCTTCGATTCGTTATAGCAGTTGATCGTTTTGTAAAAATATAGTTAACATATAAAAGTCTATAAAAATAGAGAACCAGGGTCAAGATTCAGGGTCATTTCTTAGGGTGCAGCAAAACCACAAGTGTGATTCACCGTGGTAGATCTTGTAGTTATCTCACTGCACAGGTCGGGTCGCCATGCCATGAGCATCGACCTGTCTAAATCAACGGTGTCTTCTGTCTAATATAACGGTGTCTAACCCAATAAAGCTAAGGTCGCCCGTTACCCACAGCAAAAGTTTATCGCCAAGTGCCTGGCCCTGCCTCGCGCCCAGATACTAACAGACAGCGTTTATAAGAAGGCATATTAATCAACTCGCTGGAAAACGTAGATGCGGCCGAATCGCTTGAAAGTGCGGAATTTTTTTTTTTCTCAAAAAGTGTATTCAATGTCTGTTCGGTACGGGCCTCTTTCGCATCAAGTGGGTCGAGGGCGAGCGCAGTCCCTGGGGCACATTGAGGGGAGCTAAACTTGCAAAATACGTGCAGATCAGGGTTTGAATTAGCGGTTAGTTATGGTGCCGGAGAATGCGCTTCAAAACTTTACTGGAGGAGGCTGGGTAACACCGTTATATTATGGGGAAGATACCGTCGATTTAGACAGGTCGATGAGCATGAGCATGTAATCTGTATTTTTACCCTAACCCTTATGTGCCTCACGGAAGCGAGATGGCGGGGCCCAAACAACACACCCCTCCGTCATCCTGCACCTGCCGACTGCCCGTTCAGTTCGGTCTGCAATCCACCAACAAGACAGCAGCTCGCTAAGCCACGATCTTCAGAACTTAGCACTCGCTATTTATTTTATAAGCCCTGAAATTTCAAGGGCAAGCCGTGGGAGGTTTGTATGCGATATTATCAGCTCCCAAGTCTAGGCTAACGAACGCTGCCTAGTGCGACTCCAAAGAACCTTGACGTCTGGATACCTACCACCCACCTAGGTAGCGCAACGACCTTGGACCTTCCTCGATATAACACCCCCCTCATTTTGTGAACCGACAATCAACATCGACACGCCCGAAACTTTCACCTATCACATTTCCCGACAACCGTCAATATGGCCGATGTCGAGATGCCTGATGCACCCACCTCCGCGCCCACGTCAACAGCCGTTACCAAGAAGAAGGGCGGCGTCGACGGCGAGGGTAAGGAGGGAAAGAAGCGATTTGAGGTGAAGAAGGTATACCGAACTTTACTCTGAGCTACCTGGTCCCGCGCTGACGACATTCCAGTGGAATGCGGTAGCCCTTTGGGCTTGGGATATTGTTGTCGACAACTGCGCTATCTGCAGGAACCACATCATGGACCTTTGTGAGTCTATCCCCCGCTTACGTTGCCCTACACAATTCGGTGTTTAGGTTGACGGCTGACCTTCCAACGATCCAGGCATCGAATGTCAAGCGAATCAGGCGTCGGCCACTAGTGAGGAGTGTACTGTGGCTTGGGGTATTTGCAATGTGCGATCACGCTGCCTCCCTCTATATTGATGACTTGCTTGCTAACAACATTCGCAGCACGCGTTCCATTTTCACTGCATTTCGAGATGGTTGAAGGCGCGTCAAGTCTGCCCACTCGACAACAGAGACTGGGAATTCCAGAAGTATGGTAGATAGGCGGCAGAAGCCTTTGGGGTTCAAGCGCATGCATGGGCCATGAGTTTACTGGGAATATGCGCCGGACCAAAATGGCCATGGTGACAAGACGCTCCATTGGAGCGTCTTGACATAAACTTTCTTTGCGACACGGCGTAACTGGACTCATCGATAGAGGCGCCTATAAGGGAGAACCGAGCCAACGGAGAATTATGGCGCCAGGCTCGTTATGACATTATGCAACACAACTTTCCGCATTTGTTTTTGCTTCCCGTGCGATCGTGCGATTTGTTTGTGCCCTCTCATCTAAACATCTTATCATCGATCACCAGGTTCGCTGGCGGTGTAACTCCCCCAACTGGAAGCCATTTTACGGGGTTTCGGTTGAAGAAGGGCCAGGGCGGAACGACGAGGGCGAAGACTGCGGCAGTGCCAACCAGGCCTATGTAAACAGCGAGCTTGATATCTTGAAGGAAGTAGCCGACGAGGAACGCGATCGCCTGAAAACGGATGACAAGTTAGCTTGTGCGTGGTTATCTGACAGATAGCAAAGATAGCCACTTACTCCGACGAGCGTCAAGGCCGCATTGACGAGAAGCTCGACTAATTTCTGGCCCTCAAAGTCCTTTGGTTTTGTTAGCGACAGCACCCGCATTGCGCCCGCTCAGAGGAAGAAACAAACAATTTGCCCCTCGAAAAGATCCCGGGCTTGTTCCAACAATTGCTCAGCCATCGTGATATAGCCCAGCCAAAACCTGTGTTGTGGCAAGGTAATGGGTTAGAGTTGCAGGAATGATGTTGTGGTCGTCGTTCTGGACCTCAGATTCCAACGTGGCTTCAGAGCTGAGCGTCTTCTCCCGTCCGTTGATGGCCGAGCAGGGGTCGGATGCCAAGAAGCGAATTGGCCCTAGTGCCCCGCACTCGGCCGCCAACAGCCCCGACCCCTGCGATTGAGGCGAACAACCCACGTTCGGTACCTGGACCTCCTGAGGCGACCACAGTGCCGAGCTGCATCTCTGTCATGCACAACATGATCCTTCGAGAGAGGGAGAGAGACAGATGAGGATACCTCATTTGAATGAATTGTTTCTCAAATTTGACCCAACTATGAAGCCTCCTAGTTAATGTGTATTCTTTCCCTATGTACCAAGATAGGCAGAGCTTAGGATGAGGCCTTGGAGCAGCCCGGATTAGTCACAAAGCTACCTGGTAGGCACCTCGCTTGAGCCTGGGCCCGCTGAAGGCCCAAAGTTTTTCTTGCACTGTTCCAAGGAAAACCCTCATTCCTCACTTCACCCACCAACACCCAACCTATCTCAATTCAAATTCTATTCAATCCCACTCGACCAGAAATTATCGCGCTCGATATCAGCTTGCGACGGCGCCCTTCCCTAACTAAACGTAGCGCAGCCGCAGCTTACTACCACTCGCCATCCCAAGCCACCAAGTTGGCGGGCATCATCCGCAACCAGATTTCCCGACGTTCACTCCTAGGCCCCGAGCTGGCCTACAGCGGAGTGAATAAGCAGCCACCGTAATCGCGCACGTTGTCGCAACCAGACGTCCGTCGTCGCGGACGGCTCCTGGCCGTTCGCTGCCTTCCGCTGGTGAACTAGACAGAGTATCACACTCCAATATGCGCGCCGGCTAAGTCCATTGAAGGCGCGCTCCAAGGGCTGTGATTGATTTGTGTCTACTGGAGCGGGAAAGGAAGATAGTGAAAGTCGTTCTGGACGATTATAACTTACAAGATATTGCAACCATGTCCGACCAGGAGGAAGTCGCCAACAGCTCGGGGTACTCGACCCCCGTCCCGGAACTTGACGACCACCGGAACCAAACCACTTCGGCCCATCGCCCAACGGACCGTCCTCGCAGGGGCACCTTCGACTCTTTATATGGAGCACGAGTAATGGCACCGGGGGGCACATCTGGGGAGCCGAGGGTCCGTGACTTTGAGCAAGCCATTGTTGATGAGGAGGCCGGAGACCAGTCACCAACCCTGCGGCGAACGCGTCGCCCGACTATCGATTCGGTTTCTGAGCGATCTTCTTCACCGCCAAACTCAGTCAAGGCTTTCGCCGAGGCCCGTCGGCGGGAGCGTGGGCTCTCGTTCTCTGAGCCGAGGCCGGAGCGCAAGCCCGATGAGCCTGAACTGCAGCGCACTACGTCGGTTGCCAGCCGCAACAGTTACCGCAGCAGACAGCAGACGGTAGCGACAGCCGCCGATACGGCGAGCCTGGCTACGAACAAGTCCGCCGAAGAAGACGTGTGCTTTCCCTTGCAGGACGAACAGAGGGGCGATCATCTCTATATCGACTTTGACTACCTTGAGAACTTCATCCAGTCCGAGAATGAGGCCCGTCAAGCTGCCCGTCGCCCCGAGGTCGCCCGGGTGTTTCCCGATTTGCGGCCCGAGAGTACTGAAACGGCTGCGGCCCCCCCTACTTTAACTGTTGATGGTGACTTCTTGGGCACCCCCTTTGGTAGCGAAAGCCGCACTGAAAAAGCTGAAAGATCGGATACAGAGTTGGCCAAGGTTGCGCAGCCGCCGGCCCCGATCGACCATAGCCGGGTGAGCTTTTTCTCCTCCGCCTGGGAATCCACCATCCATGCTGCCGACCTCGAGGGTCTGATCTTGCCGGGCGAGAATATCCGTGGGCTCTTCACTTTCCCCAGGGGCGAGACGGATGGCGTCTGGTGGCTCAACATAAACAAGCCGTCGGAGGAGGAAGTTCGTGCGATCTGCAGGGCCTTTGGCGTTCATCCCTTGACGGTTGAGGATATTACGACTCAGGAGTCTCGCGAGAAGATTGAGCTCTTCCCTTCCTACTACTTTGCCTGTTTCCGGTCGTTCGGCATTGAACCAGACGAAGAGACAGGGGAGAACGAGTTTGTCCCGTTCAACATCTACGTGGTTGTTTTCCGTGAGGGTACGCTGAGCTTCAGCTACTCCAGCAACCCCCACGCCTCTCATGTTAGAAAGAGGATCGCCATGTTGAAGGATTATGTCGCACTGAGCAGTGATTGGATCTGCTATGCCTTGATGTGAGTATACTTTGTGCTGGCTTGACAACCACTGGTGCTAATCACAGCATATAGCGACGATATTGTCGATGCCTTCGCGCCCGTCATCAGCAGGCTAGAGGCCGACACCGACCAGATCGAGGATGAAGTATTCATTGCCCGTACCGACGACATGGCCCAGTTCCTACGCAAGATTGGCACTGCGCGCAAGAACACCATGGCTCTGATGCGGCTGCTAGGCGGAAAGGCTGACGTCCTGAGGGGGTTCACCAAACGCTGCAACGAAAACTACAAGGTCACCCCCCGTATGGACATTGGCCTGTATCTTGGTGACATCCAGGATCACGTCGTTACCATGATGAACAACTTGGGACACTTCGAAAAGATGATGTCCCGCGCGCATAGCAACTACCTCGCCCAGATCTCCATCGACGGCATTACCCAGGGTACCAACACCAACAGGGTACTAAGCAGGATCACTTTGCTGGCATCCATCATCGTCCCGCTGAATGTGATCACCGGGCTTTTCGGGATGAACGTCATGGTTCCTTGGCAGGATGTTGGGTCGCTGGGGCCTTTCTTTGGTATTCTGGGGTTTCTGGTCACAGTTTGTGTTGTGTGTTTATATTTGGCCTACAAGTATCGGCGGTTTCTGTAGATGATGCCGCGGTTTACCTTGGAGAGTCGGAGATCACAAGTCATACACGTGCTCGAATGATTGGAATGACAGCGAGCGAGCGTGGTTATGGATAGCATCTTGTCCCCAAATAAAGTAAACGGGGAGGTAATGTCTCTAGCTGCTTAGTTTTAGACGAAAATAGGTTGCATCACCAAATTTGTGTTTTTACATTAAATTGAGTCAACCGTTTCATTTTCATGACCGTTCATAAGGAAGGACAGGCTATTAATGGGTAGAATACCCAACAACTTGTTTATAGTTTCCACGTCAGGTTGACCTGAGGTATCCAAGCCCACCTAGCACTTGATTGGCCACCCACTATCGCAGAGCTTTGCCCGCGGCTCCGCCAAAAAGTCCAAACAGACGATACCATCCCTCTGTTCACCACCATTAGCATTCACGACCGCCAACCGACCGACTGCCCAATATGTCTTCCACCGATTTTACCATTGACCAGTCCGACATTGAGAAGCTCAATGACAAGGACAAGACCGAGCTGCGCCAGTTCTTTGCCAACGAGGAGCACCGCTCCCGCATCCAGTCCCGTACGTTTCCGCATGCCTGCTTATCTTCAGTTCCTTTGCGAACGCCCATACGAGTTACAACCTCTATCACGCCTCCCGCCCTTGCCTCTCCAAGGCTAGCCAAGCCTAGAAAATCCAATTACTACCCTCATCCCACCCCTACACCCCCTCCCCTCCCCCCCCCAAAAAAAAAAAACATCGAAGAACCCAACAAACCAGAAACAACTCCCCGCTAACCTCCCAACCCACACCCCCCACACAGAAACGCACGAACTCACCGGCATCTGCTGGAAGAAGTGCGTGACGTCAGGCACCTTCCGGTCGGGGGCCCTCGACAAGAGCGAGCAGAGCTGCCTGGCCAACTGCGTCGACCGGTTCATGGACGCCAACCTCGCGACGATGAAGCACCTGGCGAGCATGCGCCAGCAGCAGTGATGCGGATGCTTGTACCGTTGCTGCGGCGGTGGTGGGTGTGGCGGATGTGGCGGATGTGTACGACCATGTTTGGGGGGAGGATATTACCCCGATGCCTAGGTACTTAGCCAGGTTTTGCAGAGGGGCCACATTGATGAAGAGGGTGCACCAGATTGGTATGGTATGAGGGGGTTCCGGTGGACTAGAGGCCAGGCTTTGTTTGCCTGGTGGTGAAAGGGTAGACCGCATGGCAGTCGTTGTTAAGCGCTGAGATGGCGGGGCTCTACTATACATTGTACACTATTACCTGTGACGATATAGATATGGGAATAGACGGATGGGATTCTCGATATAAACGAATGCTTGGAAACAATCTATCAACGCAGTCCACATAGTCAACCTTTCAGCAAAACTTCACCAAATAATACGAGCACGTATCAACACGCCAGATGGTCGAGACAACCCAACAATTCAGAAGCTGCAACAGTACGGCACGAAGGTGATGTCAATTTTTTCATTGCCAAGTCATGTGCCCAAGCCCAGGTATCTGACGCCGATCGAAATGCAATCCATGTCCCTTCGATGTGCCGACCTTTTTTTTTTGATTTCCCAGCTCCCAGCCAAAAACAATCCGTTTAGACGAGGCCGAGCTTGGTGGCAGCAATGTCGAGAGCATCGACATCGGCGGTGAGGCGGGCAAAGGCCTTCTTGGAGCCGTCAGGGCTATGTGTCTGTCAGTAACTATTTCCAAATATCCCCGTAATATCAAAGCGACCTACCGGATCAGGGTGTTGATCTTGACGGTGTCGATGTCGTAGAGCTTCTTGAGGGCCTGCTTGATCTGGGCCTTATTGGCCTTGACGTCGACGATGAAGACCAGGGTGTTCTGCTCCTCGATCTTCTTCAGGGCACCCTCGGTGTTGAGCGGGTGGACGATGATCTTGTGCTCATCGAGGCGGGGCTCGTGAGGGACCGACTTGCGCGGGTACTTGGGGGCGCGCGAGAGGACGAGGGTCTTGGGACGGTGGAAGGTCGTCGACAGACGGACCTTGGTCCTCTTGTGGGCGTGCACCTGGAGGCTGTCAGCGCGCATTCACACAAGTCATATTTCATCAAAAAGCTACTTACACCCTTGAGGGCAGCCTGGGCGGCCTTCTTGGCCTGAGCGCCCTTACCGGCCTTGGAGGCACCGCCTATCCGAGGAAGCGTCGTCAGTAAAGCATTCGCCTGAACAAGGGAGTGGCCCGTCTTGTTCAAACTCGCAAAGTCTGCTGCTGCTTTGGTGCATCACCCCGCCGCCGGAGCGACGACGGCGAAGGTGCGCATTGAGCGACGGCTGATTCTGCGCGTGTTGATGACCATCTGGGTGTTCATGTACCTTTCTTCGCGTCCTTGGGAGCCATTGCTGGAATTGTGTCGGCACTGGGCGAAATTGTCGAGTCGGTCGTGGATGAGGAAAAATCCCGGAATATTGGAAAAAGAGCTGAGAAATTGTGTGTGCGGAGCGCCAAGATGTCTGGTGGCTTGTTGTGGCTCGTGCTCGCTCTCTTAGTGGCTTGCCAGCGTTGCGTTGGCCCCAGCCCCGGCCGATAAGATAACGGAAAGTGTGCGGTGGTGATGACTTCCTATCAAAATGAACAAAATCTCATTTCTTGACTGTCTTCTTCAAAACGCAAATTTCGAACTCATGGCCCCGAAGAAGAAAGGACCGGCAAAACGCCTAGCGGCCGGCCGGCCGCCGGTGCTGCAGCGATCCAAGTCGATTTCAAGGAGAGCGACCAAGGCCCTCATCAACAAACACCATCTTTTGCAGAAAAGAAAGCGGCAAGCTATTGCCAAGGGCAACGCGGTCGAGGAGGCAGCTATCGAGACCGAGATCAAGGCACTGGGAGGTATTGAAGGTTATCAGGAAGCCAGTCTGCAAGGCCAACGGCATGACCGAGGAGGCGACAGTTCCCAAGTTCTCATGAAATGGCTAGAGCCATGTGTCTCAACTCACGGGACGGATTCGGATCGGCGCCTGAGGATGTTAGAGGTCGGGGCACTCAGCACGCAGAACGCTTGCTCTAAAAGCGGTCACTTTTACATCGAAAGGATCGACTTAAACAGCCAAGGAGACGGGATTCTGCAACAGGACTTCATGGAACGACCCTTGCCAAGAGATGAGTCTGAGCGGTTCGACATTATTTCTCTCTCGCTGGTTCTTAACTATGTCCCAGAGCCGAAAGACCGAGGGGAGATGCTCCGTCGTACCGCACAGTTCCTCCGGGCTCCAGAACGATATCTCGAATCGCCCCATCTGCAAGCGAGTTTCTCGAGTTTATTCTTGGTCCTGCCAGCGCCATGTGTGACGAATTCTCGGTACTTGGACGAGGAAAGACTGGTCGCAATTATGAAATCAGTTGGGTATGTCAAGGTGGAATCCAAATCAACCCAACGACTGGTCTATTATCTCTGGAGAAGGGATTTGGCCTGCAAAGGAACCGAGAGTACCTTCTCCAAGAAAGAGGTCCGGTCAGGGCCGACCCGGAACAACTTCGCTATTGTCTTGAATTGAGCCTTCCGCCATGGACCATGGAGCCAGGCGGTCCGGGGCTTCCGTGTGGGACTGCGCGGTCTGTGAGGACCCCGCCGACTTGGGAATTTCTCGAGCTTGGTCGCTGCCCGGACTGGTGCCCCGAAAGCGACGGCATCCCCGATCTGGCAGCCCCCGCAATCCCACTCAAGTGATGATCAAGGACCCTGTAGCCAGCGGCGGGCAATGCCACATCAGCACTTCTGGCCGATCATGTTATGAGACCCGTTTGCCGATGTGCTGCCATCCAGTCGTCCTCGACCGGGCAGGCCAGTCGAAGCTGGAGACCTCCAGTGGCCACCATTTTCACTCCAGTTGCAACTAAAGTTGGCTCCTAATAACACTCCGATGCCGCCAGTATTCGGCTATGCATGAGCTTAGCCCGTTTTGCACCCCCACGCAAGAAGCCAGACGAAAGGACCTTGAATCCACTACGGGATGCCCATCAGGGGCTTTAGGCCAAGGAACCGAACCACGAAAGCCCACGACAACAACCGGGATGTATCTTCTGTTGTTGGGGTTGGGTCTGTGCCACCCCCTTCGGAGACGCCCGAGGCCGCTAGCTACGGCTTGTGCAGGTAAGACCGACAATAGGGTGGTTATCCAAGCTGGACATGGAACACCACCAGGCTTTGAACTCTTGTTTAGTCCACGATGAATTTCTCGTTGACCAGGGATACATCAACCATGCACAAGAAATAAACAATAAAGGTGCACTAAACCCCGCTCCCGCCACCGAGCTACTGGTATCACGGGGCACGGTCCCGTGGAGTTGCCAATGTTGCCAGGTTGCTTTTGACGATCTCCCGCGCAGCCCAACTAACTAACGAGGGGACCGTTCGTTCGACAATATTTTCGTTGCCACCCCCTGAGTGAAGCCCGAACAAAGAGCAGGAATGGCGGGCTGGGGACAGTGTCCGATTTGCCGCCGTTGGACGGCGGATTGCAGACTTGACCCCATGATGGCGGCTGGATTAGGCAATGTTGATCATATGACGACAAGTTTAGGGGGGGCGGGGGGTGCAATGCCAGCCACGATGCGCGCTGGCGCCCAGCCGCACTTCCCCAGGTTTTGAGGGGTAACGAAGCTAATGCACGCTTGGCGGATCGAACGGCAGCTCTGGGGAAATCAGACTAGAGTCCGGACAGCGCGATCGTCAAGTTTTCCCCAAGAAGGAGTCGCGTGAGCGTTCATGGCCTATCGGAGTCCGTCATGTTTTGTTGGGAATTGGGGTTGGAATTCAGGGGTCGTGCTCGGGTAATGGAAGGGTCAAACTCGACATCAATTGATTCTTGGAGCTAGGGATTTATCCCATTGGGAAGCAACGGCGGGAACGGGAACGGTCTCGCTTCGACGTCAGTTCCAATTCAGTGGACTCCAAATGCCGAACGACGAAGCAACAGAATCAGTGTTGAGAATCCATGACATCAACCACGCAGACACACACACGCGAGCAAGCGCCAAGCAACATCATCTCACTACCTCTCTCTCTCGACGCAGTCTCAAACTAACTAACGAGTTAGAGCTCCTCAAAACTCTCCACCACCTCCAACCTGCCCCTCACGTCCTCCGGCAACTCGGCGTTGCCCGGCCGCTGCACCACGCAAGCGCGCATGCCGGCCTCCCTCGCCGCCTCCACCTCGCGCACATTATCACTCAAAAACAGCCACTCCCCGGCAGGCACCTCGGGATACTTGGCCGCGATGCGCTCGTAGCTCGCGGGCTCCGTCTTGGGCCCAGCGTTGACGGTGTCAAAGTAGTCCGTGATGGCGTCCGTCAGGTCGGCCGGCTCGCCGCTGGTGTGGCGGAAAAGCAGTTTCTGCGCGGGCACCGAGCCGGACGAGTAGATCATCACCCGCGCCACCCCTCCTTCTTCTCCAGCAGCAGAAGTCCACTCCCTAACCTTGGGCGCCACGTCCTCAAACAGCGGCGCCCGCAGCGCGCCCGACGCGTAGCCGGCCTCCCACAGGTAGCCCTGCAGGGCCTTGAGGTAGCCGATCTTGACGTCGCGCGCCATCAGGTCGCGCGCGTGCGCGGCGAGCGCAGACGGCGTGCTGGCGTGCTCCGCGGGGAAGGCGGCGCGGTAGCGCGCGAAGGCGGGGGCGTCCCATTCTTGTGCCAGCGTTGAGGGTAGGGCGGAGAGGGCGTAGGGGAACTGTTTTTTTTTTGCGAAAAGGGGGGGTTGGGGTGGTTAGTTGGTTGGTACGTACCTATCGGGGGAGAGGTGAGATGGATGGATGGGGGGTGGAGGATAGTGCAGTGGAATGGTACTGTGCGTGCGTATGTATGTGTGTGTATGTTTGGATAACTATGTGCTATGTGTGGGTGTATGTGTATGTGTTTGTGTATGTGTGCATACTATGTGTGTGTATGTGTGTGTGTGTGTTGGCATCATGTTCTGTCGATGGGACACCTGGCTGGTTACTTTGGCTGCTACTATTGTAGAAAATGGGGTGGCAACGTGTTGTACTCCGTGTAACGCAAAGCAATGCCTTTTTCCCCTCTTCCCTTCCCGTTCTTTGGTATTGAGGCTGCTGTGGCACACCAGAACGGTAGGGAAAGCAACGGCCAGTGACCGAGCAGGGGAGCATGGTGAGTGGGAAGGGGCAGACCCGGCCGTGACTGGCCAAGGTCTGATGTGATGAGCAGAGGGCGAGACCATCGCCACAGTGCCGAGAGACCATGTCGTGTGGGACGGGCGAGGACGGGGAACAGAATGGTGACGAAAAGAGAAGGCCGCGTTGTCACTTACAAGAACATCCTTGACGAATGAGATGGGGCAGACGGTGCCCTCTGCAAGAAAAAGGAGCCCACATTAGCTCATCCTCTCCTTAGGTAGCTATCCTCGACGGGGACGAAGCACGAATCGAGGGCAGGTCACCATACCAATGTCGAGGAGCACCACGCGGGGCTTCTTTGCGGCAGCCATGTTCCTCAGGCAGGGGGGGGCGAGACGGGGGCCGGGGTCAAAAGTAAGAGCTTGGCCCGGCGGTCGACGGGTCGGTCGGTGCGGACAAGCGGGCCAACAGACCGAAGTGACCGGAATGGAAGCCTGCGAAACGCCGAATCGCTGATGTTGATGCGTGATGAATTAGGCGGTGAAGAAGTCGGTCTCAAAGTGAGAAAGGCACGTTGGCGATGTTGCTCTGTGAGTGGATCGGCGTCGGGATGCGGCTGTAATTTTTCGCCGATGTTTTTTTTTTTTTTTTTCACTCATCGACAACTCAATTCGTCGCATGCATCATCACGCTTGGATTCACAGGCGTAAGTCACATTGAAGGGATGCGCCGAGACTAACATTCGTTCGTGGCCCTGCAAGTTCGTGGTCCTGCAGCTCTAGCTTCCGAGGGTTGGGGTTCGGGTTTGCTGTGCTGAGCTCGCAAACGTTGGCCTCGAGAAAGGCGGTCAAGAAGTCGTCACGTCGTCGTCACGTCGTCTCCTGAAAGGCTGCTCGGTTGCTGGACTAATTCACGGACATCAAATTTCCACCCGCACCACCACCACTCCAGACCTGCAGCTAACATAACAGACATGAAGCCTGCATACTGCGTGTCGATATTTGTGGAGAGGCGCAAGAATGATGGCGCCAAAGTTGGGGCGGCATGAATGTGTGCTGCATCGCCCCGTTGATACCGTGTACCTTTCTTCTATCGAGAGAACGAGCCAGCCGTCGCCCGTCTCGAGGCGACACTCAGATGAATTGTTGGCGCGCACAGACAAAACAGAATCCACCACGGTGGTAGCCCGCGTTGGCCCGAATCCCAAGGACCTGTCACTTTCTTTAGGTCTTGCAGGGAGCTTCCCGAGCGGTAGGATCACGGCTGGGGAGCGTCGAGCTATCATCCCCTTGCAGCGGCAAAATGATGCTTGGTTTATGCGGCAACGAGAAGACGAGGAATTCTACGACGGGGCGCCAAACGAGCGACAGCCCATACGACTAAACTTGCCGTATGCCTGTCTCACCGACAAGTTGAGTGAGAGACATGGCGATAGCTGCAGGAATGTTCATGCGAGGGAGGACGCCGTGATTGGGCTAGAAAACAGCCCGGCTCTGGCAAAGCATCGGCGCATTCTTCCATCAGCGAATCCCAATTCTTGCGAGCCACTCTCTCGCCGGTAATCCGCTTGGGGGATTACCAAGGTCGGCACTTTCCAGGTTGCTCTCGATGTCTTGGATTCAAAAACATGAGGGGCAGCGTAGCCATCAACGCCAAACATAGGACCCCGCCATCGATCGAGCATCCATCATGCGCCGTAAAGGGGATCTGCAGCAACCAACCGTCGCGTCGCACGGGCCGGTCCCAAGGACCCTGACGGTTGGTGTTTCTGGAACGGTGTGAGAATGTTCGTCCCAACTCATCATTCCGTCCAAAATGCTCAGAATGTGGAAGTTGTTGGAGTTGGTTGAAACTATGCAAGACACAGCCGCCTGAGCGAAGACGACTGGGCTTGGGTTCAGCGCTATTGCAAGTCATTGGCGCTCGGAAAGATGAAAGCGCAATTATTGAAGCGACGGCAACCAGCCTCAAGCCAGCCCCTCTGCAAATCAAGCACCCGGTCCTTTTTCAGTTAGCGCCAGGAAACTTGCATCTTGGTGCGTAATGCTTGCAAGAGATGGTGGGATGGGCATTGGATGGCCGCCGACGCGTATGGTCTGGCGCGACACTCTAGCAGCTGCACCCCAATCAAACTAGCGCTTGACCAACCGAAGATCAGTTGGATACCGTCCAAGGTGGCCGTCCTGCATCAGAGCCCCATTTCCAGAGGACCAATTACCCATGCCCGGCATTCGTTTCAATTCGCATAGATTGGTCAATTGACCGTCGTCGTGTGGGTTGCACTCAACGCTTCCCACAGTGGGTGGTTTCAACAGCCCAGCCGAAACATGCTCGGCGCCCTGCCCATTGCAGGTCAATCTGGCCTGAGGCCAACTCTCCTGTCGCCTGTCGAGAGCCGATAATGGACGGGGGCGCTTGGGTCACACGACGTCACACACGAGACAGTGGCATCACCGTCACCCGATTCTCGTGTATCCAGACGGCAACAAAACGGGGCCCATTGTGGCTTGTCAACATTCCTCGGCAGTTGGGCCGCCGGTCGTATGGCCGAGGAGATCACGGGCTCACCGGAGAGTCGGAGACATCGGATCGCTGTCGGGGTCGTGGGTTAATCGGCGTATCAGGCCCATCAGGTCTTGTCAATCAGGCCCGGACGTTATCTCACTCCAAGGGCCGATCAGACGCTCCCACGTTGTCCAACAAGCAGTCACCCGAAGAGAGGAACGGGTTAGTGAGTTTAGTGTCATCCGTTTATGGCATCTTTCAAGATCGACTTGCCAATGGAGGACATGGTGCGCCGCCGATAACGTTAGCGTTCTCGACAACCACTGTGTAGGACCGACTCGTACACAGTAATCTGGACAGTGTAAAACTAAGGGACGGATGATAACAATCTGGAAGACTCATGTCGTCGGATTGCGATAGAATTACTTGTACTTTGGACGAGCGGGAATTACCGGGATTGCATTGCACGGACGAATGGTTAGCCACTGTGTCCAAATGACTAAACCTCGAGCGAGCGACAGTGATTGTAACTGCTGCTATTTTAGCGGCGCCCCGAAGCAATTGAACGCGAGCTTGCGCCGCAGAGGATGGACGCGAATGACGAAGGCCGGATGCAGCGAGAAAGGGGTGCATGTCACACGAGCCAATGAGGGTTTTCGGTTGCCGTCCGGCTCCCAAGTGAAACAGAAAGGGCTCGAAGGAGGATGACCAAAGCCCAGAAATGGCGACATCGACTTGATGCCCCAGGCGTCCAGGCTTTACAGAGTTCATCCTGGGAACGGACTCTCGGACACTTCGAGACCATCGTCGCCTCCCATTGATGCTCTTGGCCGGACGCGCAATCTCACGCGACAGTGTGGTCATCACCGGAAGCAGAATCCACCATGGCGATGCGTCCGACTCATCCAGCTCATCACCTGGCTTGCCTGGGACATTGCGAATTCCCCATCGTGGAGCAGTCGGAAAATTGGCAGATGGGTCCCCGTGGTCCCCTTCTCCTGGCACAGTGACACTTTGGTGGAATGCAGCACACACACTTGGCCTCGGTCAAGCAGCGTGGTGAGTGGGTCCAGGGCTCATCAGGCGACCGCGAACGTGGCCTCACCAAAACCAGGACGCGACGAACCCGCAGCACCGCCTGGCCAACACCAACTCCCAGTGGACAATTCCTTTCTGCCAGATGCAGCGGTACCCAACTTGCAAAGCTCGCGTGCTGTGGTTGGCAGGCTGGCAAGGTACTCAGGTTCGAGAGATAGGCGGTGTGGCTGCTAAACTGCTAAACTGGGCAGTCTGCCTGAGGCTAGGTTGGGCTGGACACCTTAAAGGCTCCCACTCCTATACTTGTTTACGCAGGTACGGAGTACCACGATTCTCGTGGATTCGTAAACTTCCACTCGAGCAGCTTTGTCGGCGGATGCGTCCAAAAGAGGCATACGAAAGTCATATTCCGGTTCCTTGATGTTCGAAGAGGAACCACACTAATCTAAAAGCGGATAAGGGCTAGGCCAGAGCAGGCTAGCCTCATTTTGCACTTTTCCAATGCAGGGTAAAGCGGTGTGCCAACTGTGCAAGTCCTGAACGGAGCCCATTCGTCATTTCTCCTTGCGCTGTGCAATGCGCCCCACTCACACGACAGTGCCATCTGAAATCAGGGCACGTTGGTAACGAACTCATCACGGCCCATTCCGAGCCATTTGCCACCCAGCAACCCAGTGTTTATTCACCTATTCTTACTCGGTCGATCAACGTGCGATTGGCCACAATCACCCATGTCTCTCGCCTCCGTGGCAGGCACCATGGGGCCGCTTGCTCAGCCAAGGACATTCCGTTTGATCCATGGCGGCACCCAGCCAGCCAGCCTGGGCCAGCCGAGCCAGCCTGCCTGCAAGCCCACCCCGTGGACGCTGATGACAAGGCCCGGCCACTGTTGTCCCAGTGTTTCTGGTCGCTTCCACTCGCAGCCCGTATCTTCTACCAGCGCATCCCCCCCAGTCCTGTATCAGCCTGCTTCCCCTTGACCACCCTATCCATTTCTTCCACCTTTCCCACCGCCTCCCGTTTTCAACACCACCCACCATCCTGCCGCCCCCCGTTGCCCTCTATCGAGTCGTCTACTTCTGCACGCCTTTGCTGTCGCTGTCGCTGTCGCTGTCGCTGCCAACCCATCAACGGCCGTTCTTAATTCAAACAACCCATTCAACTTCCAAATCAAGTTCTTCGAACAAACCCGAATCCGCGACTAGCACTGCGCTGCAGAATCAACTGGCTCTGAGCTGCTACGCCACCTGCCACACTGCATAATCATTGTCTGCCTGTCTCGGTCCGCATCCGCACGCAGTTCTGCAGTCAACACAAGGCACGACCAGCTCAACCATCGACGACGTCCCCTTTGGAGCCCCTGAGCATCGAATCCAATCGAGTCTGCTTCCGAGTCCCTCGCGAGCCTCCACATCAGCAACCCTTCACCCAAGGCTGCGTCGCCTTCGTGGCATCCTGAGCGCCGCTGATTAGCCCCGGACTCGGCTCTCTTCCACTCGTTGCTCAGTTACCGAACAATCGTCAGGTCCCGATCAGTTCCGTCTCCACCAACTAGCTGTGTGAATCACACGCGTCGCCAGTTGAACAAGGGGGTCGAAGAGTCATCTCTTCGTCCACCTGTTCCCTCAACTCTCCCACTCCCCCGCATGTTTTCATCGACGATCCGCCAGGTGTTCCAATAGCCGCAACTCCTTCCTGGTTTGCTGTCTGCCACCTGGTCTTTCTCGCCATCGCCCACCTCTCCCCACTCTCCTCGACTCCGTCTTGTCCTTGACGATAAGCTGTGCCTGTCTCCCTCCGGCCAGCTTCGAAAACAGTTTCGACCCATCATCGACTTCGGTCTTTGATTCATCTCCCTCTCCCATCACTTCGCAGACGCCGCAACACAGTTCGAGTCACCTGGAAGACCTCCTTCAATACGAGGCTTGAGTCACCACTACTACCACCACCACCGCCGCCGTCACAACCATATCACAACTCAACCCATATTCACTCCTCCATTTGTATCGATGTTATAACGACTATTCCTTTTGTTTTTTCGGGACGATAAGTCCAACCTTCCCCACGACACTATTCTCGGCCGCCTTCCTTTGTTATCTATCGGAGCACACAAAATACCCTCCCATGAGCCTCGGAAAGTGAACGACTCGGACCTATTTTGTTTTTCTGTTTGATTCGCTGCGAGTTTGCGATCTTGTACATCTTCGTCTCTTTCAACCCGTCGCCTTCATTTCGACCGCTCAGCACTCGATTTAGCATTGCAGCCCGCGTCTTTCTCTGTTGTACAGTTTGGAAACCTTTGTCTTGACAAAGCTTTACTTGCACCTAATAGGCATAGGACGGCCTTGGGGATTGGGTAAAAGCTTCTTCGGAAATTGTACCACCAATCTCGACGTCGTACACCCACGATTAGTCTTAATTCCTTCGCCATGGAATGCCTTCGCGACGACTTCCAGAATGGCGTCCTGCTCGGCGGTCGGTACCAGACCATCTCCCCTCTCAACCACGGCTCCTTTGGCATGGTCTTTATGGCCAAGGACACCTTCACAGGTGAGACGGTCGCCATCAAGTGCCTGACTAAGAGGTCAGCGTCATCTGATGACTACCCCGAGTTCGCCATCGACGACCAATCCGAAGAGCTCGTCTTGCACGGCCAGCTAGGATTGCATCCGAACATTGTCAACCTTATCGAGTCGTTTGAGACGGATGCCCACATCTACCTGGTGCTCGAGTTCTGCCCTCGCGGCGATCTGTACGAGGCGATCCGCAGCGGCCATGGCCCCTTGGAGACGGAACATGTGAGGCGCTTCATGCTCGAGCTTGTTGACGCGGTTGCGTACATGCACGCGAACGGCATCTACCACCGCGACATCAAGCCCGAGAACATCTTCCTGACCCAGTCGGGGTCCATGAAGCTGGGCGACTTCGGGCTCGCGACCTCGGACAGAA